TATATATATATATATATATATATATATATATATATATATATATATATATATATATATATATATATATATATATATATATATATATGCAAGTATGTAGCAAGCAAATTCATGAATCAATCAATGTGTGTGGCATGTACTGAATGGGAAACCATTCACAAAGTAGGTCAAAAGCATATGAATGAGTGAATGGAAAGAAAGAAGAGGAGAAGGAAAAAATGAATAACGAAGAAATGAAATAGATAGAACAAAATAATAATGTATGAATGAATAAACAAGTGACTGAATAATGTAAGAGAAAAGCAAGTATATAAAGAAACATGAAACATCTGAAATTGTTTTGGGTTTACTTCTCCATGGAAACATGGGTTGCAGCTTATTTTGCGTACAAACAGCAGTCGACCCAGTTGTTCATACACTAATGTTTTAAATCTTTAGAATTTTTTGCAAAAAAATCATTACGTAACAATTTTTGCAGAATAAAAAAACTTGAAATACAAAATAGGAAAAAAAATTTTTGTTTAAAAATGAAAAAATAATGTATTGCATTAATCACAAAATTTTAGCATTGTTTCAAAACGTGTTTTACATTATTTCTAAATAATTTTTAAATTTCGATAAATCCTATGGCCGTACAGACAGCATGCAAGCCAAATTAAAAAAAATTGTTCAGTATATAAATTGCAGAAGATGCAATGTGATGATAACTCAAAGAAATTACTAACAGTCTGTTCATAATATTTATTTTTATGTCTTTACTTCAATTATTAAATCCTGACAATTACCACGCAAATTAAATTGATAATTAAATACTTGAAATTTATTTTTCTTCCCAAGCACTCCAACATGTAGGAACTTGAGGAAGGAAAGAAGAAAATAAAGGAAATAGGAAATAAAAAGGTAAAAAGGAGAGAAAGACAAGGATGGAAGCAGAGAAAAAAAGAAGAATAACGATAGAGTGAAAAAGATAAAGAAAAGGAGAGAGAAAGAATTACATATCGAATCGAAAGGAAATTAAAGAAAAATATTTGAAGAAGAACAGAGAAAAATTAGATTCCTTCAATGAATGTCAAGGAAGATTTAAATTTTTTTAAAGCATACAGGATCCCAGAGAATGTGTGTAATTCCAATAAAACCCTATAGATTTGCCTTCATTCAACAACCTTTTTGTGTACGCTGTTAACAATGTTTGAAAGATTCTTGTTTGATTGATTGTGATTAAATAAAAAAAGAAAGTCGTTGAGTGCTGAACTCATTAAAATTATAAATAGTCATCACACAAAATAAAAAGTTAACCAATATAACTGAGGACCCAAAATGAATAGATGATCGAAACCATTGAAAGAACTTGATGTCTCAAAGATTTATTTAAATTTTAAATGAAGCACTAAATCATTCATCACTGAAGAATAAAAATTTAAATGAAAACCAAAAAAAAATTCGTTTTAACAACACATTTTTTGCAATTTCGAAGCAAATCAGCATAGAAAAAGATGTAAACAATACTTGAGGAGCTTCTGGTAAATGAGAAGACGTGAGCCTGGCTACATTACATCATTTTGCATTGGGGTTATGTAAACATACAAAACACATCAAAATATATTTCATTCCGGTAACAGTGCACAAACATACGCAACATTAAATGTATTGCATCAAATGTCATTTAAATTGTTTTCATGAAAAATTGCATTACGTAACAAAAATTCATTTGAAAATTGTTTGCATTAATACACCTGTCTGCATGTAGAAATGTACAAATGTGTACACTACAGTGACATGAAATATGCACAGAGTATGAAAAAATATCTTTTGTTTCCATCTGACTGCTCAACAAAGTCAGCAATTAGTCATTCATTCATTCATTCATTCATTCATTCATTCATTCATTCATTCATTCATTATAAAAAAAAGTAGTAAAAAATTTTAATTTTTTTGCTGCACAATGTTTCTAATTGAACCAACGTTAGTAACATTAAATTTGTATATAATATCAAATGTTATTAATATTAATAACGATATTTAATGTCATTAAAATGCAAAATCGTTATATTTCAAACATCAACTGACATGCAAGATGTAAATTTATAAATTAAACAAAAAATAACAAAGTAGAATTAGAGAGGAGAGAGAGAGAGAGAGAAAGAGAGATAGAGAAAGGGGGAGAGTTGATTATCGATTGGATGTATCCTAACAAAGCAGTTTATAATCCAATCAGAAAAATCTCATAAGCCAAAATCAAGAAGATATTATGTTGCAGAAAATGTGAAAAAAATTTTCACAGATAGAAAAACAATTCAACGAAAAATTGCTAGAAAAAAAAAACTAATGCGAGATGTGTTCCTGCTTGAAATAAATACACCGTTTCCACATTGTTTTAAATGTTATTTTGAGAGATCAGTGATGCAACTAACCCATGCTGATGCAAGCAATCATCATTTATTTGAATGAAGTGTTGATTGTATTATTCTAAATTTTCTTATTTACCAAATTTAAATTACTCTTTATAGGTGCTATTAAGTGATGAAATCTGTAGTAAAGAAAAAATTGAAAGAAATCTAATGTGAATTAATGACAATAATTATTTAACTAAATAATAAAATTTAGTTTAAAAAGTAATAAACGTTATAAATTGAGGTTTAAAAGGAATTCACAGAGCTAAATTTATTTATGTTTCGCAAAAATTTTATTTTAAGAAAAATTCTTAGCAGATTCACATATATAGAACAATGAAATCATGGAGATTGATGCATGTTTTGCTGATTTACGGTCAACTTTTGAAAGCTTTTACTCAATTCATCCATAAAAGCAAATATCATGTTAGCTTTCTTTCCTTACAATAGTGAGAAAGAAACACAGATTTTAAAAGAAATAGATGGGCATAGATGAATGTTCTCAATAAAGACACATACAAACGCACAAACAAACAAACACAAACACACACACAATGAAGAGCTTCACAAACACATACATTCATGATAATGTTCCTACAACTATTTCTAGTGTAAAAAAAACACTCCTGTATACTAAAAGACTTAAACGTACCATCATATTCATCTGTTTATTACAAACACATATTCTCATACACACACGCGCGCGCGCAGACAAACCTATTTGCACACAGACACATATACATACATGCATGTGCTGTGCGTATATATGCATAAGCATATACAATGTATGCATGCATACAACATGAACACATACAAAATCAGTCATCTAACCTCATGTTCTGCCTGCTGAGCTCTGCTTAGAATCTCTTGAAGTTTTGTTTCATTTTGTTGCATCTGTTCAAGTTTTAATAGATTAACATCTGAGAATTTAATGGCATTAACTAATCATCAAATGATCATTAAAATTTGAATAAGGTCAATCAAGTAGAATGTCTGCGAATTAATATGTGAACGTTGGAAATGTGAAAGCTGCTGGGATGTGACACAACCACGACTTGAGTCTAACCAATTGAAATAATAAAACAATGAAATAAACAGCATGACGGAATGAAGAAAATTATAGAACAAACAAAATTGATAGCTGCAATAAGTGACCTGATTACCAACATAACACAAACAGAGGCGTCAAATTATTTTCCCATGAAACAGAAACATGTTGTCTAACAATATTTCCACGAAATTAGTTTTCACTCAACATATTTTCCAGGAATAAAATATCTAGCAGCAATATTAATACAAAACAAATTACAAAAATTAATATAATCCATTACAAAAAGCCTTTACCACATCATAATATCTCCATAATGTTCCACTATGCAAGTTGAGCATATTCAACCCCATCTTTTACTGTGGGTGCATAAAAATATAAAAATAAAGGGCAGAGCAACAGAATTTCAACTTGAGAAACAATTTAAATGCAAACAAATAATAAAAAATATACAAAAGAAAACAATCATTCTGACTAGTTATACACATCATGAGTATTACATTATGAGTACCACAAATATCAGTCATGAGTATCACCTCATGAGTGTCTTCACCACCAACATTCATCAATCAATGCAATCAGAAATTAAAGAATCTATCTGCTGAAACTCTTGTAGGAATGATGATGAGGAAATGAAAAGTCATATAGCCATGAAATATTAAATAGCATTCCAGTGATGCATTTGGGAGAGTAGGGACATTCATCCATCCATCCATCCATCCTTTAAGCAATCCAATCCATTCATTTGTCTATTCATCCATCCATCCATCCATCCATCCATCCATACTTTCATCCATCCATCCATTCACTTATCCATTCATACATCATGAAATGATTCTTCCAAAAAGATCAACCTTGACTCAACATTGAAGCATTAAAACAATAGATAAATATTTTATTCTACATCCTTGAATGAAATCAGAATTTTAAAGGTACATATTCATTACATAGACCATAAAATTTTAAAAACTACTTTTTAAATAAAACAGTATGTTCATAAATTGGTAATAGATGCTATCATTTAAGTTAAGTAAGCCATGTAAAAAAAGTTAAAAACTTTGAATTTGAGAAAAAATCAAAATGAACAAATATTTTTGAATAATTTCAAGATATTTCAGAAAAAAAACCAAATGATGAACAGAAAAAAAACTGGTTTTACATTATATTCTGCATTCAACTTCTACTCATGCACAACAGTCCCAAGATAATTCTTCAGGCAATGTAAAATTATATGCCAATGCTTTAAAAGTTTGAAAATAAAAATGCCAGTGCTCAAAATTATGAAAAAAATATAATTGCGGTTTAGGAAAAATATGAAATTATTACAATCATAATAATTATAATATAAAATATGAAATTAATACAATAACTGTATTTGAAATATGAAGCAAATGTTTTAAATTTATAAAGAAGTAAAAGTAGAGTATGCTTAAAAATGGGCATGAAATTTTTAATTAGCAATGCAATGCTGCTCAAACATGAAACTATAATGATAACACATGAAATAATGGAACTTGTGAAGTGATGGTTGGTTATTAATGAGGCCTGAATGTACAAAAATCATTTATACTCTCTTGTCAATTTTTACTCAATTGAATCTGATGTTAATAATGATTGAAATTAAATTATTTAAAAAGAATTAAAAATTAAATAATTTAACAAAATTGTTAAGTTGAACTTTTAAAATTAATTTTATCTTCTATGCCTATTCACTGGCAGAGACTTATAATACAATTGATGTAAGTTAGAAATGAATGTACACAAAGAGAATGAACACCAAGCAAATCATTAATCAATTTCCAATAAATAAGTAAGAAAATAAAAATGTATGTATGTGTGTATGTATGTGCGTATGTATATATATGTATGTATATATGTACGTACGTACATATGTATGTATGTATGTATGTATGTATGTATGTATGTATGTATGTATGTATGTATGTATGTATGTATGTATATATGTATGCACGTATGTATATATGTATGCACGTATGTTTGTATGTATGCATGTATGAATGTATGTGTATATATGTGTGTATATGTGTGTATATGTCTGGATGTCTGGAGAACATTCATTAATACTGAGATGCACTAATTAGCTTAAATAGCTACTGCATATATGTATGTTGTCAAGAAGTAACTTCAAAAATTAACTTCAACCATAATCACTCTTGCTCTGATCTGATAGTCTAATGCAATAAATCATAATCATAATAATACAATTAACCAATCAATTAGCCAATCGGTCAACCAACCAGCCAACCAACCAATCAATTCAGCAATTTAAAAAATTCATATGGGGACAAATATAACAAATGTTCTCCAATGAGCTTACAAGAAAGCAGTTATATATTTATAAAAATTGACATTACAACAAGTTGTAGCTTAATTTGTTGGAAAATTGTGAAGAATAATTTCAATTTCAATTCACACTTATGAGGGATGAGTGAAGTTTAAAAATGTTTTGTTATTTATTTCACTATATCATTTTCTCTATTTTTTCCTGAATATATTCAAAATACAATTGGTAAATAGAAAAAGATTATTGGAACGAAAGATCGACTAAAGAAGACATGCAACAAACCTTTTGGTTGAAAAGTCTCCTGACCATTGCAGCCTTCTCTTGGTATCCTTTTAAAATGTTCTCCAGTTCAAAACACTTGTTCCTCCAGTACAAAACATCTGCAGTTGTTGCTGCAGCAGAACTGACATGAGATATTTTACTGTTACAACTTGCATCAATTTCAGCACATTTTGTTTTCTTTGTGACATCAGTGCTAGTAGATCTATGAGAAATGTGCTTTGTTTCCTTTATACCATCTGAAGTCATATTATGGAGAGTCATAGATTTTGAATCATTTTCATTATTAACAGAATCTGTGTTGGTGGATTTAGTTGAAACGCAAGACAATGATTTATCTGGAGTTGAACAATTACGTTGGGACTCATTTGATGAACCAGTTTCTGACTTGTTTGTTATGGCATTACTTGTGACAGACGAGAGCAGAACAGATTCCAACTGAACTAATTCAGCAAACACCTTTTCAGAATTTGAGGTAACAGCAATCTCTTTAGTAGGTTCCAATGTACCATCACTTTTGTCATTTTCATGAAATAACGGGTTTGAGTGGCCCACATAATCAGATGAGTTCATCTGCAAGGAACTGGTACATTTTGAGCTATTTTTAGGATAAGTTGGAAAATTCATTAAAATGTTTTTTGTGACTTCTGATTTTTTAACTTCCACTTTATAAGGAGATGATGATGTTTTTTTGAATGTATCATTTCTGAAACTGAAATCAGCAGGAGGTTTGTGTTCTTTTGATAGGTGAGCAATCAGTTGACTATGCTGCTGTATTTGGTTGAGTATTTTATTAGACCTAGGAGGACTTAGAGGTGTCTTGATATTCATTTTTATTATTTTTTTTTACAGAACTATTGTGAAACTCTGGGAAGTAAATAAAATATTAAAAAAATAAAGCTATCAAATTTTAAGCAAAAATAAACTTCAGCATAATTAAAATAAATGCAAATTTTTTGAGAATTAGCAATCATATTATCAATCAATAATTTAAGAACTAAAATAACTAGCTACTTATTTGTTAACTGAAATTTGATTTATTTAATTAAAAATAGATTTTTAGATAAAAAAAATAATTTTGTACAAATTAAAATTAAACAAAAAAAAAAAATTCATTCATTCATTCATAGAAAACTTAAATTTTAAAACTGTCACTTTGTAAAGAACAACAGATGTTACTGACATCACATAAAAATATTTAGAAATGACATCAGTAAACTGTAAACAACATACAACATAAAAATGACTGGTACTATAAACTATATGATTTATTTATTATTATATTAGGATTACACATTACACATTGATAAATTAATTCAATTAAAAATTATAATAATAATAACTGATAGTGGTTAAATTGTAAACTAATTTAAAAAATATAATAATAAAAAATAAATTAATAACATAATAAATAAATAAAATTATTAAATCTGTCTGATGCTGATCTAATCATTATTATTAATTAAATAAATAATTAGGGAACCCAGAACTAACCTAAGCATGCTGTCCAGTAGTTTTGTATTTTGTAGTCAATCAAGCAATCAATGTAATGTTGTAATCCTAATGCACTGTCCATGTATCTATTTATGAATCTACAACTATCTCCGGCACTGTACTGAGTAGTACTTGTGTACTATGTAGGCATAGGGTAGGGCAGCGTTTGTTAACGCCTGTCAAATAAACTGTAAAGTGAAACCATTGCACTTTACATTTACTTTACAACGTAAGGTCGAGTCGGTAACGATTGTATATGTAATGGTAATCTGTAATGTAACGTACGTAGCGTAATGTAACGTAAGTTGATGACGTAATGGCCGACGAACGACGGTGGCATGAGCGAAGAACGAACGATACGCTTCAGTCATCCCCTCTTCTAGTTCTGCTTCCTTTATATACCGACCAGCAGTTGATCGATTATCATTATACACGGTATTGTTATTTACTTGAGATTAGTTTTGTATTCGTTATTTGCATTTGTGTATTTCATAAAAATTCTGGTCTGGAATTATAATTCAACGAATGGTACCGTTGGCACTTAATTTTGTGTGTGTATTGTTCACCATTCTATATATGTGTATGTGATAATTACTAAATTTTTGTTAATATTTTAGTTTAAATTAAATTTTTCTAACACAGGCCCTAATGAATGTACAATATCAATTGGTTAATGACGGTGGCGGATCTAGACAACTTTATAATGGGGAGGCCAAAATCGTTTCAAATTTTCAAACGTTCGTTGACTGGGAGAATTTCGTATTATTGACGAGGCCAACATTTGTGGCTGACGAGCTTTTTCTACTTGTCACGTCATTTTTTTGTCAAAAAAGCACTTTTTCGGTTAAAACAATGACATTCACCGATTTTGTTGTACAAAAACAGCTGACAATGGGGGGCCCTAGATCGCAAGATCCGCCACTCATTAGAGCATCATGAAATTTTGAACTGCAATTGCCCTGTACGCTCAATTGGAAGCAAGAGTAGCAATGATGTCACATATCTTTTATAACTGATGCAGGGAGACTGTTCAATTTAATAATATTTCACTTTTGTTGTCGGATTATAAATGATGTTATTTTATCAACCAAACTAGCATAACGATCTCGTACTAACGTAAAAAGGGAAGAGGAAAAGTAAAGCAAAAAAGTAGTAGTAATAATAAATTAAAACATAGAAATTAATATTAATAATAAAACTAATTAAAAATCTTGAATGTTTAAAATAACTGTATATATCTAATCCCCTAAAATACTCCCCCGCAAAAGGCGTAGCCATTCAAATGTAAAAATGTTTGTTTTTTTGAGTTGAATTTGATTTTTCCACTCTTCTTTGAAGATGTGGTTGTTGGTACTGATATGGCTGGCGTTTAACTTATTTCTCGTAATGATGTTGCTTTTGTCGCTGAAAATGTGGTTGACATTTATCTTGTTTCAAGAGATGTTGATGACGACGTTGTTGCTGAAAACGCAGTTGCCGTTTTGGTTGCTGGTTCAAATTTTGTTCTGACCTCTTATGCAACCTTCTGTCCGGCTGCAAGCGATTTCTAGAATGAGATGTGTGTGAGGACAATGAACTATGCTCTGCTTTTCTCTTTCTGTGATGATCTTGCTGCTGGTGGTGTTGAACAGGAGAAGGAAGAGAGAGAACTGGAAGAAGAGAATTGTTCATGAGTAAATTTGCTGATGGAATGATAACATTCTGCTCAGCATTTATTGTTGTAATTGCTGGATGTCATTTTTATCTTTGTTTTTGCTCAGGACAACTTTTTATTTAATTGGACTCTTCTGGTGGCTGCCTTATCAATTTTGTTTACATTCATCAGATTCAAATTTATTTTAAAAGAATCTTTTCCTTGGAATTGCTCTGGTTTGGTTTGCTTAAACGTTGATAATAACTTTTAGAGCGTCGTAATCTGTTCCTCTTTGCACTTTTAATGACAAATTTGAGACTATATCCAATGGCAGGGAAATTATTATGTGATAGAATCTTGTTTTACTACATATCACGTTTCGCAATTGAAATTGCATTTCTGAATTCTCGAACTAATCTGTTGACGTTGTTTTCTTGAAAAGAGGTAATATGGCAATGGGGTCATCATTTGGTTGGAACATTTTGTTTTCGTTTTTATCTAACTACGTGGATCTTCCTATTTCTTTTTATGTCCGATTTTCGTTGTTCAAATCAAGTCGGATTTTCGTTGTTCAAATTGCTGTTTGTTAAGGGAATGTTTGATTTAATAATATTTCGCTTTTTTTGTCGGATTATAAATCGGACAAATTAAAACGAATAATGTTATTTTATTAACCAAACAATTGTAACGATCTCGTACTAACGTAAAAAGGGAAGAGGAAAAGTAAAGCAAAGAAGTTGTAGTAATAATAAAGTAAATTAAAACATAGATATTATTATTAATATTAAAACTAATTAAAAATGTTAAATGTTTTAAATAACTGTATATCTAAATAACTAAATATTTAATCCCCTATACACTCTTTCACTTCCTTTGCTTAAATGGTTATTGATTAGCTTCTAATCAATAACCATTTATTGATTCTGATTCTAAGCACCTAGTCAGCCATGGATATATATCCATGTAGTCAGCACACTCGGCAGTTGTTGAGAATCTAAAAAAGTAACACAAGTTCATCTCGGTCAACATCTGGTGGAAGGGTGTTCAGTACAGCAGCATCACACATTTTTATGAGCCGTAGAACTTAAATTACTTATGATGCGTTTCATTATTTTATTTTTTACGCTGTTCATAATGATGTTGATGTTGATACCAACATCGAAAATATTTTAAAGAATAATTTTTTTGATGCAAAAATAGAAAACATATTTTCAGAATCAAATAAAATTTTAAGTTTATAGATCGTTAAAAATTTTAAAGAAATCATAAACTAGCCTAGCTAAAGATATAGAAACTTTGTATGAATTTTTATTAGATATATCCATAGAATTTTCTCATCTAATTATAATATATGTATATTAATTACTATATTATATAAATATTCAGAATAATTTGATTCAATACACCATATCCATAATATCCTGTGATTTGATTTCATTGTACAAAATATTGTTCTTTGGCTGCGGATTGTATATGAATTGCGGTCGTCGGCTTGATATCGAGTTAATTTCGTTGAGGAGCGTGATTGCCCTCCCGATAAAATAAATGAAACGTCCAAGAACCGTAATGCCGATCAGATCGATATTGAGGTTAGTAAGCTCTCTTTAATTAATTATTAATTCATTCATTCATTCAATCAGTCATTCGTTAGCTTTTAACTCTGCTGCTCGTCTAGTTGCTTGTGCCCCTTTCTTTTCTCATATATCTCCATATCTTGTTCTCTTGCACTGGCTACATATAAAATATAGAATAATTTTTAAAATTTGCATGTTTATGTATAAGTCTCAATCTAAATTATTTCCTAAGTATTTATCATATATATTAATTGAACCTAAATGCCCTGCTTTACGATTGTCTTCTTGTTCTCGCTTCTTCTTATCTTTTTAACTCAGCACTCTTTTGCCAAATCTGCTTTTTCTGGCCCTTTTCTCTGGAACTCTCTACCTACTTCTCTGACTACTTCTCCATCACTTAAGAAGTTCAGAGTGGATTTCAAGACCCAACTGTTTGCAAAATTCATTGAGAAGTGCTGTTGAACATCGCGGAAATAGCGCTTTACAAGCTAATTGATTGATTCATCATTCATCAAAATTGAATGACTCCTTAGTTTAGTAATTTAGTTTTAGTCTTCATAAACTCTTTAGTATTTAGTCTTTCTTCACACAATCTGTCAAGAAATTTGGGTCCCCAGATGGACAAAGGGGGATCATTGATTGAGACACTTTCTTTATGATTAGTTTAGTGAGTCAGTCTTTTTAGAAGTTAGAAGTGTTTCTATTAGTTTAGTAGTCTTAGTTAGATCAGCTCTTTTTTAGTCCTGTAAGAAATAAAACAATAAGAGTTAAAGGACTTTTAAAGTTTAATTTACTTTACTAGTTTAAACTTTTTAAGCTTTATCATCAAAAATGAAATGTCGTCTTTAAAAAATAATATGATACTAATTTATAATAAATAATTTTAAAAAATTTATATTAAAAAATATTATTAATTTTTGTTTATTTGCTTATTGACAGATATCTGCTAAACTCTGAAAAACTAATTGAAAAAGTTTGTAAAATGTTTTCTAATGCTTGTTCTAATATTAATTAGAAATTAAATTATTAGAAACTAAATGAATACTATAATTTTCCATCTTCCTCTAGTTGTCTGAATCATATCCCATTAGAAGAGCTGCCCAGTTAACTGCCTACTTATTTTTTAAAGGAAAAGCTATAGGTATATATATATATATATATATATATATATATATATATATATATATATATAATTTTGCAAACTGTAAATCTTAGCTAATCTTTCAATGATTGATTATGTGTGCTTTCTTTCAGGTCAATGATAATAATTGAAAAAATATGTTTTCTATATTATATTTGATTATTTTGTATATAAAATATATTTTTTTATCCAGGTGAAGAGAATATCAAAAAAATTAAAAGTTCTGACAGTGTTAATCGTTTTGATAGATTTAAATCAACATTCATAAAAGAATTTGAAAAACTTAACGAAAGTGAGAAGAAAAAAAGACTTTGAATAATGAATACACCAACTAAATCAGCATGTGACTTCTGTCTGGAAGCACCACCAAAATACAAATGCCCTAAATGTTTTCACAACTATTGCTCCACCAAGTGTTATCAATCTGAAAAACATATTAAATGTTCTGAGAGCTTTTACAGGGATTGCTGTTTAGAAGGCTTAAAAAGTAAATCCAAAATAGATAATCCAAATAAAATGAAATCAATTTTAAACAGACATAAATTGGAGAATGAATTGGAACTTGGCAATGATGAACAGGAAAGTCATATTGATGAAGCTTTTGCAAATTTAAATTTAGATGTTGGAAGCAAACGTTTTTGGGATGAATTAGATTATGAAGAGAAATTAGAGTTCTTACATCTACAGCTAACGAATAGTTTATCTTCATTGATTGATGTGTGGAACCCATGGTGGATGGAGGTCTTACCAGAACATATTGAAGATGAAACTGTCATAAATGCTTTATTAGAAAAATTGCCAAAACTTCATGATATTTCATCTATGAATGATTCAACAATGGGCAGATCATCTCATTGTATCGTCTTCAATTTGATAAACATCATTTACGGCTACGCTTATATATCAAAATTGTTCAATGGAGATTGGAAAGATTTGTTGCTTGACTCAGTCCATGGTTTCATTTGCATTTCCTCTTCACTACAAGATACCGTTTTTACTGATGTGTCTACCGCTCTCCAACATTGTTTATCAACGTTTTTACCAGGTAATCCCGCTCATAGTTATTATGTTTCGCAAAACTTCAGTCTTGCTGTGATTCAAGATGTCAGTCGCATATTCAATGGACCTAACTGTTTCAGGCAAAAATTGTACCTGGAAGCTGCGCTATCCGACTGTATAGATACTTTCAAACGATTTAGAAAAATGTCTCGTCGGAGTGAATCTGTGCAACATGAAAATCTGAAAAAAATAAGTTTTAAAATTGGTAAAAAGTTGGAATTTATGTTAGGTTGGGTTCGGAGTAAGCAGAATTTAAATGACATCTGTGGTGAGATCGATCACGTGTTCCACAGCAATATGAAACACATTGACTCTGCGAAAAAATGTGGAGATTCAATGAAAGATGCAATTAAGGAAAGTTCTAATAAATTGCATAAGAAAGTATTGATAGAATTGTTGTAAATAATTTATTTTTTTATTCTATCACATTTCGTTTTTTTGTGTTAATTTAATAAGAATTTAAAAGACATTAGTTTTTTGTAATAAATGCTTAGTATTTCCTATTTTTATGATTTTTGAGTTTCAATAAATTTAAATTTGGTAAATTATGTTTTGCTTGGGTTACTCTCCGGTTATTTCAAACTGCTTTCACGTTCGTTCTCAACCAAAATCCGTTTGACTGTTTAAAGTGTTAATAAGTTTAAGTGTGCGATGTTATAACCGTGTAATCATAATCGCGTCAAATGCGTTTGACGGAGGAATGATGTCACCTTTTGGTCCAGTTGAAAACGTACATAAGATATACTGTTAAAAAATTGCTTTTAATGTTTTCGACGATTTCATCGAGCTAAAAAAATTTTTTATAACTTCGGTCACCACCAAGAAATTAACCTAATTTAATTATTTTTTCGATCAATACGGCAGACATATAATCTAATTGGTACCTCTGTAATGTTTGAACATGATCAGACAACCGCGTCTACCATTTCCGGCAGGTCCACGCGTGGACTATGGTACTTGCAATGGTAGTTAGCGTTAACGCAATACAAAAAATGACTTCCAGAACACATTTATATTCACAGTTTATTGTCGCAATTATTAACATGTAAAAATGTCTTTTATCAATTATCTTCATAAAATTTTATAACAAATCTAACAACACACGAATAAACATCGCACTTCACACACATCATCCTAGTTATTCCACCACTCTCTGTGCCAACATCTCATTGCATTTTGGGAAAATGGCCAAATCCTGTTTCGTTGTGGGGTAGTGGAGTAGTTTTACTCCTTTTGTCAAGAGGTTGATCATCATCAATTTCAGTGCGAGCTTCCGATATCATTTTATGCGCAACTTCAATGCAAAATTGCAAAAACACTACTGTCTCCCATCAGTAATCAGTATCTGTGATACAGCAGATAGGAGTTTGCCAGTGTCAAATCTTAAGTATGGAACAAGATACATATTTCCCACTTTTTCGTTCTCGCGTTCAACTTGGTAAAATATAAATATAAAAAAATCAGCAAATTTCAGATGGCTTTGCATTCAAACTGCAGCCAGTTTTGCTTATGAATGTGACATTTGTGCAATAAGAGGTCGAATTTATCCCCGAATGGTTGCAAGATTTGATCAAAATTTTCTTTTATAACCCATCTTGCCCTATTTTCTCTGCTGCTTGCCTTGTCCCTTCCATTGTCATCATCACTGTCATTTGACTACCACAGTCAGTGTCATCAGAATCATCTGATTCAACCTCTTGTCCTGGCTTGTAATCATTGCTAACAGGTAAATCTTCTATTTATCATACTTTTTTCCACAAATGGTTGCAAAAATTGATTAAAATTTTCTTTTATAACCCATCTCACCTTGTTTCCTCCACTGCTTCAAAGTAGAAATTAAAAATACACACTTGTTATTAATATTTACTTTAAACATGTTAATATCTTTTTGCTAAGAAAAATTTTATTAAGGAAGATAAGGATGAACGAAAATTGAAATTCAAGCACAAACGATATTGAATGTTTAAGATCTAAGGATAAATGCTCTTTTAGATAACGTCACAAAACGTCATCTGAAATAAACAATTCAAAGAATTCCAAACAACTTAATTTTTAAAATAATATCGTAAACATTTAACACCAATAATAATTAACATCAAATAACAAGAGATATAAAAAGTAAGTCCATCACATTCAACCGTATTTTTCGTGATATTTCAATAATAGTCTGTATTTTTAATTGAGACAGATAAACAACAAAATCAAGTTCTTCTAAACTGGGATGTCTTGTGGCTTTCAGCCAGAGTGCAAAAAAGTCAGACCAAAACCTTGTTGCTTTTCTTCCGCTGGGTGCGAATATAGAGCAAGAAAAGAAAAACCTTGCAATCCTCCCTGCTATCCGAATCGACGTACAAAGATGAATTCATGCCAGTCGTGTCCGAAGATACCAGCGTGCTGTAACAGTTGCTGTCCAGGATCTTGTTGCTCCTGTTGCCCATCCTGTTGCCAGACTTGCGGCCAGTCTTGCTGCCAATCTTGTTGTCAGCCACCATGTTGTCCGCCTCCCTGTTGTCCACCCCCCTGCTGTCCTCCTACCTGCTGTCCTCAACAAAAATGTCTACCACGTCCTCCCCCACGACCTCCATGTCCTCAGCAACAAACTTGCCCACAACAGACATGTCCTCCACCATGTCCACCACCCTGTCCACCACCCTGCCCACCTCCCCCTAAGCCATACTGTCCTCCACCCTGTCCACCACCACAACAACAATCATGCTGCCCTCCTCCTCCACCACCATGCTTTCCTCCACCACCATCTTGCTGTCCCCCACCACCATCTTGCTGTCCACCACCGCCATGCTGTGGATCTTGCTGTTGTTCGTGTTGTCAGCCTTGTTGCGCTCCTTGCTGCCCATCACCACCATGCTGCAGCGTTCCTTGCTGCCCTAACCCCTGCAACTCTTCTCCATGTTGTTCCAGCTGCTGTCCACCCTGCGTTTCTTGTTGTCCATGCAGCAATGTTAAAATAGCTGAAGTTCATCCGTGTGGAAATTATGTGAAACTCGTCAACCAATCATGTACTAAGGTATTTATTAAGTTTTTTTTTCTTTTATTGGTAATTAAAAATGATAAATAGACGTTTAATCGTAGCAAAGAGCGTTTTAGAAATTAGATTTTAAATATCCAATCATTTTCAACAAATTTCAGCAAAATATATTTATATGTTCATTCACAGTTTTATAAAATTTGTTAAGTTGATGTTCAAAGTTTATCGGAAGGATGCTATTAAATTTTTCATTAAACAAAAAACCTCATTTATTCAAATTATTATTTTTTAATTATTCTGATAGTTTCGGGCGTCAGTTGAGCAAACATTGGTCATCAACAGGCAAAATGAATTTATAATCGAACATTCAAAAATTGTAGGAAATTGTCCTAACAGTTGTCGAATTAGCAAAAGCAAAATTAACAAGAATAAGCAAAAATAATAAATGTAGCGTGGCCCGCTTTAGAAAATGCATGTTGTGCTTGCAAATTCAACGTTTGCAATCTCATTAGAAAACACAGAAATTTTAAACGGATCATTCAAGTTATTTTGATAAAATTGGTTAGTCATGTTGAAACGAAAAAAATAGATACGAATTTCCAAAATCAAAATATTAAAAGTCATATGAAGGACTTTGAAAGAATATCGTTACGGTTCAGACGGGGCACTCCTTCCTTTATTGTTATCTTTAAAGCCGCCGATTCATTGTAACCTATTTATGTTTTTTAGTTTATTTACTTGTTTTACTTGGTATATTATTTCATTCTTATAAGTTATTATGGTTAATGTTTATATGAAAAACCGGCGAATAGTTTTTTTGAAAATTAACTAACTCTGTTATTCTGTTACAAAGACTTTCAAAAAGTCTTCTTAATATAAAAATTTACATTCTCATCATTGTAATTATTGTTTATATGGCAACACAGTTTATAAAAACCCATTAATTTGCGTTTAACTCAAATTTACATGAAATTCTCATTCAAAAATAGGCTGAATACATAAGTGGTTGTTACATAGTGCAAATGCAAGGCGGTTGCTGTTTGTCTGTTTACAAGATTCCCCCATGTGTTTATATGGGTGCACAATGTTCTCTCAAAGTATATTCTTGTTCCGCGGATCCAGGCTGTCAGAAGTGTCCGATTGATTTAGTTTTTAGAGAACTATGCAAATGGAGTTGTGGGACGGATATAAGTACAGTGTTCTGTTCCTGCAGTGGAGAGGTTAGATGAGAAACAATAAAACACTATTCACTGATAATGAGTTGTTAAAAACATTTTGCTATCGTATTCATAAATTTTTGCAGCCGATAAGTTGCGTGATTGGATGCTGTTGTCCAGCCACTTGCTGCGGTGAGTAATTTTAGCGTTCTTCTCCATGAAAATCCAATAAAATATTATTTTTTTTTATGTAGAATGTTGTATTCCAGCAGTTACGAATCAAAAATGTTAGAGGTTTTTTTTCTTCAATCGTGTCCAAACAAAAATAGCAAAACTGTATAAACATGGAAACTCATTACTATATATACATATATATATATATATATAAGTAAAATAACAATTATCGTTGACTAACAATCCCAATCACTATAAACAAAATTACCATATGTTAAGCGTAATAAAAAAATTTTTAATTTTGTTATATTAATTAGTATTAAATAAAATTGTTTAATCATTTAAATGTTGCAAAATAAGAAAAATTGTTTAATCATTTAAATGTTGCAAAATAAGAAAAATCACAGCAGCGTTTCTCGACCTACAAAGACTTTTCGCATTATTATCTTACAACTTGGGTTTTGCTTCTTAAGGACAGGTCTGGAGATTAAAATCAAGACGCAAGGTAAACATTTAGTGACAATGTGGCATAACGCCCTAATGATTAATGCGTCATTACGCATATTAAAGCGATTTTACCGCGTTGTAAATGGTTGATGATAGTGAAGCATTGCAAGAGAACGAATTACCATTACCAAAAAAACATCGCAACATCATTCACAAACATCGAAAAATTGATTAAGCCTGATAAGGATCACTAAACCGCACTATCAGAACTTAAATTTTATTTGTTCATGTAATTGTTTATATAATTTTCGTCTCTATTTTTAGTCTAAAACTTTATGTAAACAGCTAGCTGGATTAATTGTTTGTTCATCACGTGTTCAGCTCTTGGATAAAATTTGAGTTTTCTAGGTTTTGATGCTTTTAAATTTTTTAGCGGTTCCTGTAATACTTGCACTAAACTATGATTAGCCAATAACAGCATAACACATGAACATGATGCCCTATTACAGAGAAAATAATTTTGAATAAAATAAAGAGCGTTTGAATTTTGACTATAAAATGTTGGACATCTCGGACAGTCGGAAACTGCGGTGCCCTTTGTTACACTTGTTTAACTAAATTATTACAAATAAAAAAATAATTTTATAAAATTAACACAATATTAAAACAAAAAAAGAATACAACAAAAATTCCAAAATAAACCTCTAAATGAGAAAACGTTAAAGTTTGATTCGAGCGATAAGTGTGACGCAGAGCGGGAATCGGACGCTAAAATTTTAGTCATATATAATATTAAAATAAAGGTATCCTATACACAAAACATTATACACGTTGTAATTAATGGCAATTAACAAGTTCTTCTATTTAACAATGGCTGAATTATCAAAGATCTTAAAACCATAATTGGTGCCAAAAGAGTGTTATGTGCCAGGTGAATAAGCTTAAAAAACAAATTAAAACAAGAATTGCCAGACAACGCCAGAGCAGAGTTAATGAGCAATAAAAACATTTTTAAAACTTGATAACATAATAATAATATTTACAAAATACAGTTGGTAAGATCTATTTACAAATCATTGAGATTGGATGCTGTTTGGCATTTAGGGCTGGAGACCTGTTGATTGGCAGAAATGAATCGAACGACTTGCGTCGAAGGGGCAGAAGAAAGGGTGATTGCTCCAGAAACTGTAGGTGCCGTTGTGAGTCGTTGTTGTGATGATATGACCAGCACTTTCTGTGTAACAGCCGATCCAGACGACGATGTTCCGATGCCAGGTGATAAAAATGCATTATTATTGAATGTCAATGGATTTCTAAGGCCAGGCGTCCTTATGATCTGTGGAGGAATGCTTATTTGAGTCGGACGAGGTGTTGCAACAGAGAATGTTGAGCCTCTTGATAACACAGCTGGTGAATTGAAAGGATTTGATGAATTCATTGAACTCTGTTGGAATTGTCGTAGTTTCAAAACAGCGGAATGTAATAACGGCCCCAAGTACAAACCATGATCTTGTTTATATTCCTCTACACTATCAGGAGAATTTTTTACCTGGTATTAGCAAAAATACTTGATTATATAACACAAATACATAAAAAAGAAAAAATAATTATACGGAGAAACATTTTTTGATGAGAATTAGACTTCAAAAATAATTTGATAGAGAGTTGATATATACATAACATAGTTAATTAAAAACTAAATACCTGACGAAGCACTGGAGGAACAATTTTAAGGACAGCTGTCTTGATATGCTCAGCTGCTATTCTATCTATGTTTGAAATTATTAGCATTCCTAAGGAGTTCTCCAAGACAGATGCCAATTTTTCAGAAATTTGAACTAAATGAGGAAGTACAAAAGCTTTCACAACCTCCTGACCCAACTCTCCTAAACATATTATGGCCCCATAATGAGTAGCCAGTGGAGCACTTTCATTTTGAAGAGTAGTTGACAACATTTTCGTTATTCGACTTTGAAGTTGGTTAGTGCTTGTATTGAAATTTTTACACACTTGGCAAATAAGTCTTGCAGCAAAATCTCTCAAAGCCCAGTGGTTGTCACTGTCAGGACGGATGCATAGCTGTCGACTTATAATACAAGAAAATATAGGAGGTATGAGTTCATGAAGGTATTTTTCTAATGACAAACTTTGGTTATCTACAAGTGATTTTGTCATTCTCATTAAATAAATAAGCAATGCAAGATTGTTTTGTACAGTGTTAATTCGTACACCCTCTGAAATGAAGTTACACAATCGAGGTAGCATTTGAAATAGACCGGTGTCTGTCATTAAACTGTTAAGTGCCTCTATGCGCCGGTTTTCATCGGAGCCCACACAAGCTTCTGTTATTTCTTTGAGGTAAAGCTGTTGTTCTATGGATAGTTCGTGAGTTGTCACTTCTTTTATACGAACCTTTTCTACAGTATTCAATTTAATTTTACTCTTATTAAGTACACTTTCTGCTGCTTTTTGGCTTCCAATTATGTTCAATGTTCCTTGTTCGGAAGATACTTTTTTCGTGATGGGGGCTGGATTTTCAGGAATCAATGGTTGGATGCCTTCAATGGCAAGCCAGTGAGGTTTTATAGTGCATTCAAGTGGTACTTTTGGAGGAGGGGCACTGATAATATCCTAATAAATAATTTTTTAAATAAATTTAATTAAACCAATAAAAATAAATTTAATCATACAGAATTAATTAGCTATTAGAATTTCAAATTAAAGCATAGTCAAAAAATAGTTTTTAATTACAAATTTAAAAACTAACATTTAAATCCACTTCTTTTTCATCATCGAAGAAAATCTCTCTACCTGATCCACCACTTGCCATCCGAAAAGGAATTGGTTCACCTGTGTAAAATCCAAATACTGGTTCGATCCCTCGGTTCCTCATTGCCAAGTCTATATCATCTGACGTCAACTTTAGTCGATTATTTTTCTCCATAAATTGTTTGCTGTCTCCAAGAATTAATTTAAGGACAAATGTAGTCCTCTCTGATAGAATGCTCAGTCCTGTTTCATCTAAATTGGAGATGCCTACAGTCTCAGAAATAACTTTTACACTATCGTTGCTGATGACGAAATTATTTCCGGACATTTTATTAGGTTCATCTTCGCTGCTTTGACCATTCATTATCACTTTACTATTCATTAAACGATAAAAAACGAAAGTAGATTAGAACGGGCACCAAGCAGAAAAACAACAACGTTAGTGAGGTTACCGTTACGTTCTATCGATATAAAACTACCGTTGAACAAACAGATTTTGTGATCACAAAATTACGAGTTATAAGTTTTTTAATTTATTTATATATATATATATATATATATATATATGCTTATATTTGTATTTACTGTATTGTATTTGTATTTGCATATATTAAGTCTATTTCGCCGAACTATATTTTGGTGTTTTAATATATAGTTTAGTCGTTTATTCATTTGAAGCAATAGCCTTATATATATATACTATATTAGCCATAGATAAAGAAACATAAAAATGTTGTAAAGCTTATTCTTGTAAAATTTTAAACTTTTCTTTGTTAATTACTGTAATTTGCGTGTCATTGCCTTGAATGTTTTGAACTGCATTAATCTGATTATCTTGATATTTCATCATTTTAATTTACAAAACTCAATAAATTGTTCAACATTTGTTATAATATTATTTTGATATAATATAATATTAATATAACATAATAATATAATATAATATTATTATTTTACTTTAAAAGATTTCAATAATAAAACATAGTGGTTGTAAAATTACCAAAGGGGAAAGATCATTTAAAATATTGAATTTACGATAGTTTACGATAATTATCCATATTTTTTTACTAATTCGGACAAACTTTGATAAAAGCCACCGAAATTTCAAACACCCTTCAATTGTCCATCTGCATCCGCCATCCTCTCGTTTCTAACTCATTTCATCTAACAAAAAACGCTCTTTAATCGTTATGGACTCTTCCATTGCTTTTGAAACTATTAATCATTTCTCTTCTCTTACCCAGTATCTAACGATATATATGTATTATTACAATTTTTTTCTATTAGAAGCAATTTTTTCAGTTCATAGCTACCATTTATTATTTATTCATTTTTCGTACAAAAGTTGTAATTCATTGTCTACTTTCCTCTTTTCTTTTTCAATTTTTCTCCTCCTAATTTATTTTATGTGTTCAATATTTTTCAATTATGTCAATTAAAGTAATAAAACCAATAATATAATTTATGAATATCTCAATTTTGAGTTATTTCGTTTCTTCAGTTTGGCTAATTTATGCCAATAATTTTTTATTGATTTATTATTTTTTAGAAGCTATTACCGATTCTCCGTTTTTCGGAGTTCATGTATCATCTTTATCGCTATATATGTTATTTTTACAGTTCTAGCTTTTTAATATCCCTTGAACAGCGTACTGTTCAGTATAGGGGGCGTGTTGGCCGAGTGATTTAGGACGTCTGGTCCTGTTTTGCAGTGCATGTATTGTTAGTTACCTGGTTCGATCGACCTTAGGATGCTTCGTACGGGATGCGTCGTTCGATACATATTCATATTGGCAGTTCCTCTGAACTGTGGAAAATGAAAAAGACCTTTCTAACCTTCATTGTGTTATAATCAAAATATAATAAAAAATTGGTTGATCGCAGATATTTTCGGACATTATTTGACTGTGTTTTGAGCCGCGTTTTTTCAAATTTTCAGTTTTTTGAGGTTTAGATAAGATTTCGTAATTTAGATATGCCTATAGAAACGTTTAAATTTATGCAAGAGCTTTTATGTCTATGATATTAACCAATAGAACCATATAAAAAAGAATTTTTAAATAATCTTTTGCGCAAACAATGGTTATCATAAGCAAACAAAAAATAAGTTAGATGTTATGTTTTATAATGGTAAGTTCCTTAGCCAAAAAATAGATTATATTAAAAAGATTAAATTGAAAAACAAAGAGTATAGTGAATAAATTAGGTTAAATGTTCATAGATTGTTCTTCAAGTATAGATAGTTTTTCCTTTCTCCGTATTCTAAAAACGTCTGCATGATGTATTCTAAATTTGAAACTTGCCTGTACAGGTATACGTTGAATAAAGAAAGGCCTAATAATCTGAAATATTGCAATGAAAGTGTGAATAAATTTTTATCTAAAAGTAACTAATAAAATAAAGATAAAAATTTACTTCAAGTTGTTAGTTATTCATAAAAAGAACTCACAAAAGTGTAATGGTTTTCAGTAGGTACGGCACCAAAAATGATGAATTTGAGTCTGAGTCCTCCGAACAGCTGGATTCAGAGTCTAAATTTATAAAACTTTTCGTTGTAAAAAACATTTACGTGTAGACGTGTGCAGTTTTTTCAAAATAAAAAATGAGATAAGAAATATTTTCAAAAATTTAATTTTTGATTTAATAAACTAACAACTTTTCCTTTCCCTAAACTCTGCGCGGAGGTTCTTAGTACCGTTTGGAAGGCTGTAACTGGAACGTAAAGAGGGCGAGTTTCTCCTGCTTGGAGAGGACGGGCTTATCTCATTTTTTAACACGTTCACTTTTTATGAAGAGAATTTTAATATTAATTTATCATCGAGAGTACTAAACTTAAAATTATTCTAAGATAAAATAAACCCACTGAAATCGACAAAACCTTCCATCAGAACAGTCTTGGCTGATTTATCTATAATGGCTGGAAACATAAAATTTTATGTCATTTTACTTTTATTTCTATGTAATTTTAAAATTTTACTTGAAAAAAATTTGCACTTATAAATTTTCAAATGAAAGTAACAAATGTTGATTTCAGTTAATAGCTAAATGATAAATTTGAACACACACAATCGCTAGAGAGATGTTAAAACAATGCATTAGAAATTTAAATAAATAATACACCTCTACTGATGTAACTCGATGAGCTGTTATGTTTAACTTTGCCGGTGATAACCAACGAGGTGCAGTTTTTCGATACCGCTTTCAGGCAGTATCTGACCGTCGTGTAGAAAGTATGAGCGTAAGGCACGCCTTTGCTGAAGACGTCTGCATCCACCAAGTATCTCTCACCTCGTCTACTTTCCGGGTACAACCGCTGAGGCAAAATATGCGCAATTGTTTAATAAATTTAACATTATATTTAAGTGATCAATTTCGGAATTAGACCTCGTTAAATAATTGAATGTTTCGCAAAAGTAAACTCTACTACATAACGAGACAGACAGTTACAACCACATGACACTAGGACAAAAGACTGTATTATTTATTAATTTTTTTTAAATATTTCGGTCAAGTTGTTATATACTTATTTTAAATTTACGCTGTTAAGTTTATTTGAAAAATGTATATATTGTATATGCAGGCTTATAAGTTGTCACATACGCTCAAAAGTTTTCTGCTATGTTAGGTTATCATGACTAAATATACTTGAAAATAAACTTAGTTGCCTACGTGATCTTAAATCAAACAATTAGAAGCTGAAGAAACGTATTAAATCTCAAAAAGTATACAGTGTATAAACCTTAAAGTTTTCCAAATGACGCGCTAGAAGATGCATAAAAGTATAGTGGAAAAAGAAATCTCAAATAGTTTAAATTTCACTACTTAGGTGTATTTAAAATGTTTTGTTTGAAAGATTTTGTGAGTAACAAAACTCGTTTCACAATACGCGTTGTAGAGGTACAACTGTACAAGTTTAAACACGAATTGAATGAGTAGGAACAATTATAATCTGAACGGTGTTACTCGAATTGTAAACTGAATATAATAAAATACAAATATCAATTCAGATTGAAATTATATTCTTTCATACATCTCTACTTAAACGCAAACGTAAATTTAAGCACTATTAAACAACAGAACATAAAAACGTCACTCAGACAGACAGAGAGCCAGACAGACAGACTTGTGATTCTCTGTTTGGAGAGTCCTTGGTGAGGATAGCCAAGTTGACTGATACAGTGAATGTCAGATTTCTCACCTTCAATCCTTCAACTTCGTCATCATCTCTCCAATCTTCTAGATTCATGTCTTATAACGCAAATTCAAATAAAAAAAGCCAAGCCAACTATTCCAAAATATAATCCAAATAAACCAAAAACTAAACTTATAGATTAATTTATTTTTGTATACCAAACACAACATATTTGGAATTGAAAAAGTTCAACAACCTTTTGTTTTGCGCACTTTGTTGTACTTTCTGAAGAATGTTGAATCGCTGAAAATCCATGTGAACAGTTCATCCACTGGCACATTCACCACGTCATTCACGAATGTCAACTCCAAGTGGTGTTCAAGCGAGCAGCCTGCATGCATGCATTCATGCTTTAATCATTTATGAGTTAATTCATTTATTCATGCTTGCATTCATTCATGTATTTATTCATTTATTCAATCATTCTAATCATTCAATCAATTATTAAATTGTTCTGCAATTAGTTAAACCACGTTCAATCAACAAATTTTTCTACCAAATATTCCAGCTAGTGAAATATCGGCTCGAAAATTTAACGTTTAAATTCATTTAAGTTTTTATTAATAGTTATATAGAAATAAAACAGTTAAACAAAATGACAAACCTCCCTTCACCATTTCAACATGTAGACGTTAAAACTTGGATCGTAACAGTATCCCACTGAACAGAAACATAGCTATTTCGTTTATGAACGACTTTTAGTTTATAAAGTTTAATGCACACATATATTATATATATATATACATACGTAATATAATATATATATATATATATATATATATATACATACGTACACACTGTATATCACAATTGAAAGACTGTGCAAAGGTGCTCGCATGACTATTGTTAAACAAACACACAGCACAACTCTCAGCCAAACAATACCTCCGTTGTACACCTCTGCCAAAGATGATATTTTTATTTTTTAAAACATCTATCTTTTATCTATCTACGTATATTCTACTGTAGAAATCCTATGGATGCACCCTAACATTTTTTCACCAATCAAAGATTACAAATAAATATAGATATACGAGATGTAGGGGTAATGTTTATTTTTGTTAATTTAACTAATTTAATTTAATTTGGTATTGGCTAATTTATATTTTTAATAGAAAATTGATTAATAGATTAATATTAATTATTTTCTTTTTTTACAAAACACAATATCAATTGTAACACATTTCTTATTTTTCACCAAACGCCTAACATTTAGCATATGATTTGGTTGACGTGACGATGTAAGTCTGTCTGGTGGCAAGTTACACAGGTTACAATAGGCTGCCGAGATCATGCCATTTACGAACAAAATATGCTTTGAAAAGTCGTAACATTACTTGTTACTGTTGGCTGTGTGAAACTACTCGAACGCTTTTGTTCGTGATCTGTACGTCTGCTTTGTTCAGTTACAATTGTAAAGTTCCACATTATGAACTTGACTAGTTAAAAAGTAAATTAATTTTGGATATGATTTGCTTCGACTGAAATAATTCAGAAAAGTTTCATAATTTCTAATTATCACTAATCTTATCGGCAAAACACCTTTCATTCGCCAATTTTTTTCATAGCCAAAAATGTATTTAAAAAATATATTCTTGTGATTGTTAATTATTATGTTTGTAAACATTTAAAATGCGCATTAAGCAAAACAAATGTGATGAATAAAAATGAAAATATTTGCATTGAACTTCAGACAGATTTAAATACAGTTGCTACATACATGTAAAATTACACTTATTTTTTTATGCAATGCAAATGTTTTAGCACATTACTACAGCATTTATGTAAATTATTTAAAAAAAGGTGATCAAAAATATACACTATTAATATTATAAAAAAATGTAGATGATGTATCGCAAAAAATAACTCTGATGATCACAAATCAGTGATGGCGTTCAGCGAGTCGTTCGAATTGACTTGTGTTTTTTTGGTGAGATGGTTGAGTTTAATTTTCAAAAGTTGCAAACAGTATCCATCAGATACGAGCACGAAGAAAATGTAGATGCCGTGAAGTTTCGTGATGAATATCAGATAATATGCACACGTCGTTTCGTACACTACAAAAGCAATCACGATGATTATTGTAAGGCTCAACTTCAAGCAGATTCGTAGCATAAATTTTGGAATTTCTAGAGATTTGGCAACTGATTTAGTTGCGGTGCCCAGAATGATTTTAATTTTAATATAGATGGCCGAAAATATGATGACGTTGCAGGCGTAGATGGTGATGTAGCATGAGAACAACAACTTGACAGGAACGTGGTATTGGCATATCAAGGCATCCTCTTTCTGTATTCTCCTTATCATCAGACGAAATTCAATAAGAAAGAGAAGTAGAGTGAATACGCAAACATAAATCGAAACAATCGCAAAATTGCACGGTGTGTGTTTTCTCTTCCTCCTCATTATATTCATTAAAAGATCAAAAGCCATCACTTTGAGCCACAAAACATCAAGGAATATAAAGTACCATGCAGCTAATGTGAGCACCATGCACACATCATCACCCACGTCTAATGCGATTGCTATGTAAGACAGGTTGTAGCTTATTTTTGAAAATATAATGCATATAATACATTTACCAGGGAAGGTACGCCAGTGTTCGATGATGATATAAATGATGAGAGTGGTCAGTAAGAAGATTACAGATAGCAGGTTGCTGGCGGAAAATAAATAATGCCAAATTTTATTAGCGTATTTTAACTTGTGGAGTTTTAACTGAACGAACATCTGATGAACATACTTTTTCCAGTTTTCAGAGTTGGAAGCATTACCCAGCGGCACCGTTCTGATACATTCGTTCAAATGATCGTCATATTGTTCTGCTGTTTCTCTACACGTTTTTAATTTTTCCTTAATGAAAAAACAGAAGAGGTACCAGTGTTCCTGATTTTGTATTTCTACAAGTGAGCTTGTAAAATTGTAAACCTGCTCGGAACAGTTTTTAAAAATCTGATAAGTGCTCTTCGTTTCGACGCCATCGGCTTTTGATTCTGTAAATAATTCCATATCCATTGATCTATTACTTTGCGCTTTGTTGATGTTGTTGAAGAATTGAAAATAACATTTACTCCTGTCCTGTTTGCGGCATTTGAACAAATGGAGAATGGAAGAAGCTTCGTAGTTCGTGTTCCACCAGGCACACGACGATCCATCTAGTTCATGTAGGCAACAAGTTATTAAAATTATTCCTACAAATTCCAACATTTTTATTTTGCGTATGAACTGCAAACTATTCCAACGTGGCTTCGAATGAGCTCGACTTTATAAATGCAAACGTCAACTCGGAATGTTTAAGAGTCAGCAAACCATGCTCAGTGTTTGCCTTTGTGCACTGCGCCATCTTATATAAATTGCAATAAACATGCATACACACATACTCACATACAAACATGTATACATACATACACACACTCATATAAAGACATGCATGGAATCATACGTACCGATGTTTGCTTGTATGTATGTATGTATGTATGTATGTATGTATGTATGTATGTATGTATGTATGTATGTATGTAGGTATGTATGTATGTATGTATGTATGTATGTATGTATGTATGTATGTATGTATGTATGTATGTATGTATGTATGTATGTATGTATGTATGTATGTATGTATGTATGTAGGTATGTATGTATGTATGTATGTATGTATGTATGTATGTATGTATGTATGTATGTATGTATGTATGTATGTATGTATGTATGTATGTATGTATGTATGTATGTATGTATGTATGTATGTATGTATGTATGTATGTAGGTATGTATGTATGTTAAAACCAAAACATGATGAGTGACACTGAAGACATGTATGTATGTATGTATGTATGTATGTATGTATGTATGTATGTATGTATGTATGTATGTATGTATGTATTTTGTACGTAACAAGTAAGTAAGTATGTATGTATGTATCTACGTATATATCTACGTATGTGAGCCTGTATGTATGAACTTGCATGTGTAGGTTGTATGTGTTCTTACGTTTGTTTGTAGTCTTACGCGTGCACTGAACTTCGCGTACACGCTCTTGAAAGTATAGCGATGATGGGGACGTGTTTGCCGAGATCAGATTAATGAAGAATAACAAGGCTTTATTTCATCGTTGACACGACAATGTTTTCGGTAGAAATTGTTTTCCTCTTTAAAAAACAACAGAAACTTAATCAACGGCAATCATTTAAAATCACAAAATTGCAAGTGTGAGTGGCTGGCTTACACTTGTTCATGGTGATGATGATATAAATGACGATGATGATTGTGAGGATGACGACGAGGAGGTGATGGTGATGATTGTGAAGAACATGATGATGGTTGTAGAGAAGATGATGATGATAGTGAAGGTGAGGATGATGATTTTGGAGATGATGACGACGATTGTGTAGATGATAATAATTAATAAGTAGATATTAAAAATTGTGATAATAATAATGATGATAACAAATCTGATGATGATACTAATGATGATAATATTAATGAAGGACTAACTAATAGTGATGACGAATGGTAATGATTTGAATCCGAAATTAAAATTTACACAGTTGATGGTTGGTTGTCATGTGGGGGATTTAATCATCGTAATAACTGACATTGATAATAATTACAAAGCTATTTGAGAATGACAGTGATGATGATTACGATGTTGACAATGATGGTGATGATGTTGTTATGAAGACGACGACGACGACGATGATGACGTTCTTAATAAATGTGATTATGATTAAAGTTGGACGCAATGGATGTTCACGTTACAATACAACATTGATTAATATTGAACTATAAACTTATACATACATATATATATATATATATATATATATATATATATACATATATATATATATAAATGAATTTTACAAATTAAATAAACACCTCAAAAGTTAAAACGTACCTTTTAAACAACATCTTATAATGCAAGTAATAGTCTGCTCTAACTTGAAAACATTTTATTTATTTGATGTACGTGATTTATTAGTGTATGGCATTTGCAGGTAGGTGATATTCAACAAGAAGTGAGTGATATTTAAACTAAATTCTCATTTTAGAATTCAATTTAAAATGTTAATTTCTCAGAAACTGAAGTCTGAAATGAAAAATAATAGTCAATTATTATCTGTACTAGCCAAAAAAAAACTTGGCAATTGCTAGAATCGTTTCTTAAACTTTTTACAAACTGAAATGAAAAAAAATTGATATAACAATGAACGTAAGCATTGTGTTGCAATGTAGCAGAGCAGGGATGAACGTATGAACCACTTGAATAATTATTTAACCTTAATTAAGGCGCCATGTACGTAACGTCGCTGAAGATCAAAAAATCTAAACAGAGCATATCATGCGACCCGAGCTTATTTTATTTTTGTGTGTGTTTTTATTATTCACAAATGAAAAAGTATTGTAAAACGGACGTATATTGATGAACAAGAGAAACAACTGAAATGCGAAACACATGCATCTAAGTCGAATACAATCAATTGTACCGCTATTAATCAAAACCAAAAGTAAAAAAATCATTTTCACATCAAAAATGGTTGATGTTTTTTCTATAAACTTAATTTAAACTGTAAAAACTTGTTTTTCTAAGAACTCATTGAAAAGTGTGGATCATTAACGGTACGCTTAATTTAATAATAATTCATGCAGTTATATAAAACTGGCAATTTACATTACAAGACATATTAAAGCATTCACGCAACAAACAGAAGAAATGTTCATCTTATTGAATATCATTAATGTTGGTACATCTGAATAGCTATAAGGAAACAACAAGCAGCCCAAAAATATATGGAAGTCATTGTTACATTACACGGCTTTGTTGAACAGTTATGGAAAATACGTTTTAATATAAACAGTTAACATTCTTTAGGGACAAGCGTTAACATTTTATCGCTATTAAAATTTTATAAGAATATATATTTTCTACAGTTTACATTTTCATTTAATTAAGATGAAATGCTCTAAAAATATTGTTTTATTCTATCTTAAAATATTGTTGCACTTTAAATGCAAACGCATTTATGAACCACGCATGGATGAATTGTAACGACATATTGTAAAAAAATGTTCCAAGTTTCAACTAACAGCCTCAATAGTAAAAATTTTAATTATCTGTGTTATCTAGCACATAACCTCTTTATTATTTCTGTCACCTTCATTCTGCCTTTCATCTAAATAACTTGCCTCATGTGTCGTATCCTTCAGTAATCTGCATCATTTTTATCACCTCGGTCACTCGTGTCATGTCTCATCGACTTCGTCAACGGTAATTATTGTTCGGTCTGCATTTCTTTTCAACATTGCCTCTCGCTGCTTCTGCTTTACGTAGTTCCTCCAAGTCTGTTGCAGCAAACGAACAACAAAAATTTCTCTTTGCCTTTTTAAAGTGCTACTCACAGGATTGTAGTTCTTCCTTTCGGGACCTTTCTTGATGTCTCCGAGATCGCCAGTTACTTCAGACGTTCCTAGGAAATTTTTAGTCAGACCGTCCAAAATATCAACACAGTGAATCATGTCGTTTTCGCATATTGGAATGTCGAGAGATACCAGCCTGTAGTAGTTGGGCATTGGAATGCGAAGTGGAGGCTCCAGACTATCGACGAATTCACATAACTTGCTCAAGTGAATGTATTGTGTAGCATTTTCGTCAAACTTTTCCCAGACCTTGATTCAGAAAAGATAGTATTTTAAAAATAAATATCAATTTTACAAATTTATAGTTTATCTTTATCAAACAAGTTAAAATTTGTTTAGATTAATTAATTGAACATTGCAAACATACCATTAACAACTTTAATAATGATCTAGTTATTTATAACCCTACTCACCTCGTAGTACATGTCGAAATCATCCTGAGTCAATCCCTGCTGAACATCTTCGGTGGCTTGTGAAAAGTTCTCAAGAATCACAGCAATATACATATTGATTACTACAAGGAAACTTATAACAAGGTAGGTGACCAGATACAAAACAGCTTCACCTGAACTTCCACAATCTCCATTTGGTTTGATTTCCGTTTGGGTTTTATTGCAGAATTCTTCATTCATCAAACCTGCTAACACTCCATCCCAGCCAGCTGATGTGGATACTTGGAAAAGCATAATCATACTTCGGAAGAATGTTTCAAAGTTGAACATGTCATCGATCCCCTTTGTATGTTTGACGTGCATAAAAAAAGACATACCAAAAATTGCGTATATGAACATAACGAGGAACAGAAGCAAGCCTATGTTGAAGAGCGCCGGCATAGACACGGCCAAGGAAAAAAGTAGAGTACGAATCCCCTTGGCAGATTTAACCAGTCTCAATATACGTCCAACTCTAAAAACTCTAACAACCCTCAAAAGAGTCGGTGATATTGGAAGGTCTTTCATATGTTCAGTTTGATCAAGAAAAGCAGTAGCTATTTAAAAAATTGTTATTAGTCTTTAGTTTTAAAATTTAAAATAAATTTCAATTAAAATATTAATTTTTTAAACGTTATTCAAAATTGTCACTCACCAAGCACAGATGATATGACAACAACAAAATCAAACACGTTCCAGGGTTGTTTAAAATAGTAATGCCTCAAGCCCACTAGTTTCATGACACATTCACAGGAGAATATAACGACGAAGACAATATTGACATAGAATAAGGTTATCTCCAAAGTTTTGGATTGATCGTAATGTTCTATGGCCATTGTCATCATGTTCAAGAGAATGATTATCATAATGAAAATATCAAATTTTTGACTGGTCGTCAATTGGAAGAATAGCAGCTGAATTTTTATCTGAAAATTATTCATTTCAATTACTGTTGACTAAGTAAATTTCCAAAAAAATCACTAATTAAACGTTTTGCTAATTAGACACTTTTCAATAAAAAAATGTAACCGTTTGCATTTTTTGAGTCTGATCAATTAATAGCAGTCATCAGTTGATTAATTAATTAGTCAATCACCCATTCGTTTAGTCATCAATATTAAAGACCAGTTTGTCAAACTTTTATTTTGGTTGGGTTGGTAGTTAATAATTTGGGTTAGTATTCAAGCTTATAAATGAGGTTTGGGTCAGTAAATGAAATGGTAGTAGTGTTGAGATCAATTTCAATATAATGTTCTTAACAAACCTTTGGTTTTGGAATTGGTTTTTGTGGTTGTTTGGAGCCTAATTTCTTCATCGCGTTGTAATATTTTTTTTGGTCTTCAGTCATCAGCATTTCCAGTGAGCCACCAGCCTTTGTAATGTATTCAAAATATTAATCCTCGTATCATATCAACAATTATATTATTATTTATTGAAACTTAATTTTCTTCATCATTTTCTTGTTTAATAATTATTTTGACTTCAGGAGGAAAGAAAGATTGATGAACCGATAAAAGCCATTTGTATAAATAAAAAAGTGTCTAAATCCGAAAAATAAAAATAAATCATAGCATTCCAGCCTCGATCAGCAAGCCAAATAAAATAGATTTATTAGCAAAAACATTTTCAATACAAATGAGAGTTTCTCATTAGCGAAATAAACTAACCTTTTTCTTCTGCATGTTGAAATTTTCTATAATGACACCAATGAACAAGTTTAAAGTGAAAAAAGCACCAAAAACTATGAAGAAGACAAAGTACATGTACATTCCTGATCGTACTTCATGTTCCGGTTGCTGATCTTCCTGGTTGTTCAAAAAATTGTCGTGAGCGTTAACATGGATTTAGCTGGTTTATTTAATAACTTTTTAATGAATAAAATAAGAAAAATTTTAATTCAAAGAGTTGATTTTAAAATCACAAATAGAGAAAATTCTGTGAAAATGATTGAACAAGCATGACCTCTGGTTTGCTGTTTATAGCGTTGTCCATAATATCAACCCAACCTTTGAAAGTAGCCTTGTAGTTAAAAATATTTACAATAAAATCTTGCAATGAACATTTTTTAATAGAAATTTGTTATAATTTTAAAATAAAAATGCTCTTAAATGCTAGTCTTTTAAACTGATCGTATAAACGAACTGACCACTTGAAATAGAGCCAGATATCCAGCCAGAACATTATCGAAGTTGATTTTGGGATTGTACCAAGTATAATTCAAATGAAACTTTGCTTCACAGTCAGTTTTATTTGCGGCATCTGTTACATTCACTCTTACTTTATTAGCATCCAAGCATTGCTTGAATTTGCCGCCGAACAGGTTGACTCCCATGATGCTGAAGATGAGCCAGAAAACTAGACAGACAAGTAGCACGTTGAAGATGGCAGGAATAGCTTGTATCAAGGCATTTACTACAACCTTTGTATAATTAATGCATAAATCTAATTAATTATCAAATGAATTTTAATTATCAAATTAATTAGCTAATTAATTATCATATTAATTTAACAGTTAATAATATGTGTCAAAATTTGACTCAATATAATGAAATTATTGTTTTATTAAAATTTGAATTTTGCACAAAATATTGTCGGATACTAGACAATGATCATCGTCAACTTTAGAGACTTACTTTCATGCCTTCCCATCTCGAAACAGCTCTCAAAGGCCTCAGAGCTCTCAAAGTTCTGAGTGCTCTGAAGGCTCCAATATTACCATATCCAGCACTTTCAGCAAACAAACTCAACAGTGAAATCTGCAATTATTCATTTATTTAATTTTTTTACAATTAAATAAAAAACCTACGTATAATAACAACATTTTAAATTCACGTTCAGCATAACATTTTGCGTGTGAAATTGAAATTAAAATGGCTACTAATGAATGAAATTTAGATTTAAACGGCTACTAATAAATGAAATTGAACATACAACGACGATGACGAAGTCGAGCCAGCACCAAGCATCTGTAAAATATTTCTTGAAGCCATACGCAGACTGTTTGATGAACATCTCAAATAAAAATATGACGGTAAAGACTTTATCCATAATCTTTAGAAAAGTTTTCAGCAGCCACCTCTCTGGATTCTCAATGTAAACATCTTCTACTGCCTGCAGGTACAAACGTTTCAACTACGTGACTCTTGCTTATTTTCCAGTATTTTATTAGAGCGTAGAAATAAAAAGCAGCGGTGATAATACTTTTTAAAATAGGATTTGTTTGAATCATAATTTTGAAAAAAATAATTTTGAAAGTTTAAAAAGATTATAATTATTTGTGGGAGTTACGTCGGAATGAAAAAATACACGGATAAAATTATTATCTTGATAGCGAACGAACCAAAGCTAAACTGCTTAAGAGAATCATGACGATGATGAAAGTTTCAAAGTAGTTGTTCTCAACCAATTCGAACATGCATCTCCTGAACGCCCACCAGGTCTGACCGACTTTTGTAGTCTCAATGAATTGAAAACATTTGCAGAGGTTCATACAGCTTTGAGGACAGCAATCGTCGGGGTATTTGACAAACACCACTTCAACCTCGTGCACTTCTGGACCTTCTATCACTTTTCCTGTGTTGTTACGTGTTTGAAAAATTTTTAAGCAATTCGTTTTGTTTTAAATTAAGCCGAGTACGACATCGTAAAATTAACTCTACTGTAACATTGTGAAAAGTTTCATAAAGTAAATGGTCATATTTGAAATGTGATTTGGTAAAAAAATCAAAAAAGATGTGTCAGATTGTTTAAAATCAAAACTGTACGACATTATTAAACATTTGACTATAATTGAACTGAAACATAAAATTGACCGGTTGTCGGAAGGTCTTCGGCGGAGTAGGAGTAGTTACTGCTGGACAAAACGCTATGCTGACTACCATGCCCTTTAGAAACAGTGGGAGATGTTGGCGATGATGTTGAAGAACTGTTGACGCTGTGATGGGAAGGCATCCCTGTGTAAGTCAGACCCGAGAGCAGTGGCACCATGTGAGACAGTTGCATGCGGTCTTCGTTGCACATTTGCTGCAATAAAATAAGATAATACAGTATAGAACTTTTATAAAATTAATTTAGTTTTAAATTACGTTAATAAAATTAATTCAGGACATCCTGTACTCTTAACTCGATTGGAAACACTTTAAAATGATACCAAATGATCAATTGAAAGAGTAATTAATTTTAATTTGAAAACTGGTTTACCTTGATCTGGACTTCGCCTTTTTCTGTGTTCAAATTTTATAAAAAATTGTTATCAAAAATAAATATAAAATAATTTATAAACATAAACCACGTGCAAAATAATAAACGGCCTCTAAATGATGACTCAGAAAATAGACCAGACCGTATGCGGGTACGGAAGTGTAGGCCACATGTGACATCGTGTCTCCAGCCTTGTGCGCATGGTAACTTCCTGAATGTAGACCTGCTGAAAAAAATTTATAAAAATGTTTTTCAAACTGGCTATAATAACTTTTTACATCTCCATTAACTTCGAGTTTAATAAATATAATTTAAAATTATAACATCAATGCAGATAAGAAAAGAAACAAATGATTCAATTTTTGAATGGCAACAAGTGGGTGCAGATAAACCATGGTGATGGTGCGGCGATCCCTCAATGAGGTCGATGAGACTGACATCCTGTCCATTCACACGACCATTTTCGTACTGCTCATTCTTCGTCAGTCGTTGTGTCCGCTCACGCCCTTCTTCGCGCTCAGATCTTATTCTTTTCCTCTTCCCTCTGGACTGAATAAACGTTCAAATTTGTTAACTAGATAATAAAAAAACTAGATAAGAAAAACTAAGGATTTTGTTATTTACTTTATACATTTTATCAGAATAGCAAATGTGTCGTTTTACGAGAAGATACTTTCTTAGTGGTTTGGCTTACTTTCACGCAGATATACATAATATTTGTCAGATTGTTTGACTATGAATAGTATTTAATTTTTAATTTGAATGTTTGAATTTGCATATTTGATTGATTTTTACAGTGAAGAATCAGAATATTTCCAAATAGTTTGTAATATGAATAAGTTTTATTGATATAATAGTAAAAATAAACCATTAAATTGTATACTTTGATGCAGTAGAAAAAATTAGATTTAACAAAAACAATGAAGCGGTTGATTCTGTCGATGGCTTCTTGCAGCTTGTTTGGTCCTTCATCTTCCTCACTGTGTTTTAAACTTTCAGCTCCGAAGGAGCTCAAGAGCAAGGCAAGGAAGAGGTTTAAGACCTGGTTCAAAGTTTGAGTTCGAGATTAAAAATATAATTTAATAGAAAACGTTGAAATATTTGGCGCTTTATTTAAGACTAACATTAAACACGCACAAAGTAAATAATTAATAGACAACAAACCACAAGATTGCCGATGATCATAGTGAGTAGAAAGAATGGAATGCATATAGAGCCGGAACATCTGATGCAATTCCACATCGATTCTATCCACTCCCCACACAAAACTCGAAAAACAATCATGAATGAGTGAAGAAAATCCGTGAAGTTCCAACCGGGCATCTCGTGCCCAAAAAAGGTTGAGTAGTTTGGTCCAAACAATTGCATACCCATGACGGCGAAGATGAAGACGATGATCAACAGCACGAAACACAAATTTCCTAACGCGCCCATCGTTCGACCAATAATTCCTATCAGGAGATTGAGAGTTGGCCAGGATTTGGCTAATTTAAAGACTCTCAGCTGCAAATGATTTATTACAGCGCATAAAAATTGTTCAATACATTTTTTCGAAATTGTATTCCACATATTTGTCAAATTAAATTAAAAAAAGACCGGATGATTTAATAAGTTAGTATCAACATTGGTTCAATGAAATATGTAGCAAAAATTATTGTAAAAATTAAAATGAAAAACGGTTAAAAGTGACCAACCAGTCTGAAGGATCTTAAAATGGAAAGACCTTTCACACCAGACAATCCCAGTTCAACGAGGCTCAAAATGACGATGACAATATCGAAACAGCTCCATTTGTCTTGCAGGTATTTATATAAACCAAGTGCTGATATCTTCAAAACTGCCTCCACAGTAAAAATACCGGTAAATACCTAATTGATCATTTAAAAAATTACTGTCGTTCCAAAGTTAGAAAATTTTATGTTTTACAAATATGTCAATAAAATAAATCGTCATTTAAATATGTAGATAGAAAATATAGAAATTTTAAATTAATGATAAACTAATAATAAGTGTTCAGGTACTTGTTGGTATAAAAATGATGAATCATTCTATAATTCGTAAAATACTAGTACAAATTTGGATTAAACTTATTTTGATATTGAAGTTATTTTCAATAAAAAGATATGCGGTGAAAACTGATCTAACATAATTTCCATATTTGAGAGTGGCAATCATAGTTGGTGTCATGCCGTCGTGTTCCATAGCCATGAATAACGTGTTAATGACGATGCACAGTGTTATGAACAAGTCGACAAACGCGTCCATTATGAAGAGTTCAACAAAATGGGCAAACAAGTACCAGTTCGGATGGCACTGCCAGCCAAACAGCAGTTGATGACATTTTGTTTTGAAAAATTCTTTCTTGCTCTGGCCTTCGTCTAACCCGAAAAAATCTGAAAATGTCAAGAAAAAATTTTCAAAATAATTTTTCTTCAATTAAGTTTGGTATTTGAAAGAAGTCGCAGACTGATTTTATTACAAGTTGAATGCAGATAGTTATACTTTAGGCTAGTTACATTAAAATCTGATTAAAAATGTTACTTACTTTTCTTTCCAGACGCGTGGTTTATAAGATCTTTCAGTACTAAGACGTCTGCAAATACAAAATGAGATTTTGTAAAATTTAAATATGATTTTGTAAACTGTGGATGATAATTTATAATTAGTAAATAGGAAACTATCAAACAAGAATTTGCAAATTGTAAATAAAAATTTGAAAATTGTAAACATTTAAACTGTTTAGAAATAAGAATGACTATAATATTTCAAAAACATGAAAGTAGAACCTTTCAAATTGACAGAAGATGGGCTTGGAGTGAGGCATATGAATGGGTTGTCTGCGAACATCTTATCTTTGCAAGTGTCAAAATCACGACCGAAGAAGAAGTCCTGCCGTAAAAAACGTTATAAGTGTTAAGTGATAAAAGAAAATTTAAAAAAGAATCAACAATGGAAAAGATTTGAAATGTAACTGACGCCAGTATTTTTTCTAGCGGCAGATGTCGGTGGTCCTCCATTGGTTCTCTGTCGTCCTGTTGTCGTCCAGTGGAAATGTGTCGGTTCACATTTGCGGTCTGGTGCTGCTCTGTTTCTGTACATTTCAAAGTTTCTTGGGGAAAATTGGGCGAGCGGAGATGAATAACTTGTTCGCCGATTTGGAAATCTTTAAAATCGAGAGTCATCAAATTAAAAAATGATAACTTCGAGTAAATTTAATTAATCAAAAATTAATCAATTTAAAAGTTAACAAATAAAGAAAATGTTATCTCAATTTGCTATGTTTTTGTCTTTTGAACTCTAAAAATGTTTAAAATTGTCTGAAGATGATGAGATTATTTTAAATGGATTTTAAATAGCTGTAAAATTTCAAGCCTTATAAAAAAAAACAATCAAAAACCTTGGTGGTACTGCTGTGAAGCGTTGTTTGAAGGCTATGAAGTTATGGGCGTTTTGAAAATTGCATAAATGATCAGCTGAAGGCGTGTTTAAAGTGGAATCATCTGCGAATGGTAAGTCGACATTTTCTAGGCACGGTAGGACCACAGGTCGTTTGTCATTGTAGTGTTGCTGCTGCAGTTGCTGCAATTGGTAGTTGTTGTGAATGTGTTCTGGCAACATGACTTGTGCTGGGTATGCCGCCAAGTATGCCTGCTGTTGCTGGGAATGACCTGGCATTTTCATACTGTAAGGGTCGTTGTAATTGTTCGCCGTCTGATGCCCTGTGTGACTCCAGTTAAACTTGCGACTTCTCGTTATTTGGTTTGGGGAGCCCGGCAGACTGGAACATATCTGGAAAAGTTAAATATTTTATCTTTAAACAAATATGAAATTATATCTAATTATTATTATTATTTAATTGTTTAAAAAAATTCAATTTTTATTTCTCTAGGATTCCTAATGATAAATATTGTTAAAATTAATTGACGCAAAATTTGCTGCGGGTAATATGAATGGGATAGTATCAAAAAAGTATTTAAATAAATTGTTAGCAATACTTTTTTTCCTGAACTGTTGATGAGACTCATTCTTCTCTGATAGCCAATGGCGGCACATTCAGATTTCATACTCAAAGCTTCCTTGTCCAAGACTTTGCGAGGTAAGTATTGATCGATGCTTGTGCTCGAGAAGTCTGAGTGGCTGAACCTTCCCGAGCCTAGCTGCAGTGCAGCGTTGTTCGCCGCGTCCTCCAGCTCTTGCAGCCTCGCTTCTTCGGCCTGTGTTTCAGTTTATTTGTAACTTTATATTAGCAGTAAATTTTGATTTAAAAATTTTTTTCATACAACATCTAATATTTCAAAATTAAAAAAATGAAAGAAGTAAATGTTACTAGTGCTTCTTCAGCTTCTGCATCCTCAGCCTCTTGGTCTTGCTTCCTGCAGTCGTCGTACGACATGGCCACTATGGCGAGTATCAAGTTGACCAGGTAGAAGGAGCCGAGGAAGATGACGATCATGAAGAACAGCACGTTGCCAGGCCCATTTGCTTTCAACGTCTTCATTTGTAAATTGGGAATTTGTTCGACTTACTCAGCGAAAGAATGATAAATTAATAATTGAAATCTCTGCTAATTTTATATCTAAATTTTACTGGCAACAAATCAGTTATTAATAATTATAAATCTATTTTTTTAAATTTATTCGAAACAAAAAGTTACGTTGAAATAATAAATCAAATGTATACGATTAGGCAAACCAGCTGATAAAGATTCTCCCAGTAGTCCTGGGTCATTAGTCGGAAAGCACAAAGTAGAGCCCATGCAAAATTGTCGTATGTTGTGTAGCCAAAATCTGGGTTCAAGCCTGATGACACGCATTTGTAACCATCGTTGCACTGACTAAGGTTGGATGGTTGATTGGTTGGTTGGTTAGTTAGTTGGTTGGTTGATGGTTGGTTGGTTGGTTGATGGTTGGTTGGTTTGTTGGTTAATTAGTTGGTTTCATTTTTTATGGTTTTTAACAAGCAAACAAATGGATTAATGAAAATATATTTAATAGCGCTGGAAAAAAGTGTCAGTGTGTGTGTGTGTGTCAGTGTGTACGTGCGTGCGTTTGTGTATGTGTGTGTGTGTCTACATTGTAATGATTAAAATTTTAGTTGCATGTTTTAATGTCATTTGAAAAAGGGCTAGAAAAAAGTCAATAAAAATAAAAATTTTGAATTGACTGAAACGTGGTCATTGACCTGTATGATTGTATTGATGGTTGGTGCGTATTATGATAATTTATGTACGATACCGTTTTAATTCACGCTACATGGGCCAACTTCCTTTCGAGAAAAATCGTGTGTTTGCTTACGTTTGTTTGTTCGTATGTGTTTGTTCGTGTGTGTTTGTTCGTAGGTGTTTGTTCGTAGGTGTTTGTTCGTATGTGTTTGTCGGTGCGCGTGTGTAATAATTGTAATAAGAATTGCGCGTGGGTAATAGTTGTAATAAGAATATCACGTAATTCATTTGTAATTGTTATTGTAATATTTTTATGAAAAAACTTTTTTTAGGATGAAAGCTGTTCTAATCATTATTAACAGCTACTGCACCTTCCTACTCACACCATTTGCTACTGCATCAGCGCCACTGAAAACAACATAAACAGTAATAATAATAAAAAATGAGAAGAAGAAAAAAAGGGAAAAATAAAAATAGGAAGAATTTGCGAGGTGATTGTTAACCTTCCACTGTCTCCACAGATCCTTCCATCCTGCTTGTCTGGGTCTTGCCAGTTACCTTGCAATTGATAAAAAATAGCTACATGCTAGTTTCTTATATTAAAAATAATTAATTTTATTAATAAATTATTTTTAATTAATTTATTTTATTAATAAATTATTTTTTCAAACGTAGAAATTTTCTTATAACTGAATAGAAGAGGGGGAATCATGCTAACTCCTATTCCCTGCATAGGATAGTTGGTCATCGTTAGGAAGCAGTTTGAACCAGGTGATGTTGTCCATCCGCACGCATTTCTTCATCAAAGTGCCCTGGTACAACTGCAAGCCGATGAGAGCGAAGATTGAAAGAACGAAGAGTGAGAGGATGGCGACGTCCCGCAGACGTCTGACGGCCTCCATCAGGGCTCCTACGATTGTCTTCAAACCTGACGGCCACGTTCCAAATATTCGACTCAATTTCAATTTGCCGCGTTGAGTTATTGGCATCAAACTTTAAACAACATCGCATTTTCACTCAACCATCTAATTGTTAATTTCTAAAACATGGAAAACAAGGTTTTGCGGGGTCAAATGATAAAATGAACGGATAAATAAGTATGTTCTATGTACATGTACATGGTTGAAGTGGCATTAGAGGTAGGTAGGCGATGGAATAACGTTATGGATTTTGGATTGGAAGGTTTTAAAAATTTATAACATGCATTTGAATTGGGGTTTCAACAAATTATAAAGGGCTTTGTCAATAACCTTTATGTCAATAAGCAGCCTGATAAACACAAATATTTATGAGAACAAAAAAAATTTTATTAAAATAAAATAATGAACATCGTGTAAGTTGTTTTTGCTCTATAGTGAATAAGTTATGAATAAATGTTCTTACATTTAATTATATCGAGAATTGTTAAGAAAAATGATGCACCGAATATTCATTCCGACCCAACATCGGTTCCTGAGATATTTGACACAACATTGGATACAGTATTGGACCATCGCAAGCCTACAAATAGTATTTTGAACTTTTTCAACGATAAAAATACGAATCCAGTCGAATGATCTTTCTTGCTATTTTTTCAACTATTTTGATAAAACTATTCCAAAAACTTTTTTCATCTTGACTAAATTATCACATAATTTTCAAAAATTGTACTGATTTTAAATTTCTCTTGAAAATTGTATTAAACTTTAGGTCCTACCTATGAATAATTGAAGAGCAACTGTTAAAAAGACATCAAAATAAGAAATGTAGGTACTGATTACTGGATGTCGTAACAGCGCAGTTCTTAAGCATTTCAAAAGATTTAATGCAGTTTCTAAACTCGTTTCACATTTAAATCAATTTTCATAATTATAGGTAGAAATGTAAACCTTTAGCAAAATCGGCTGATGTTATAAAATGTGTTTGCCCCTTTTGTAAATAGCCCTAGTCGATTTCATGAATAAATATTCAGTGCCTGTTTTACACATAATTCATAATGACTAAATATTTTTTTAAACAATTTTTGTATAAATTTTTCTGAAAAAATGAAATATTCAATTTATGAAAATAATAAATTGAGTTTAATTTAACAAATGTCACATATAAAACAACGTAAAGTAAACGGTATAAAAACATGATTTCAACTCTTTAAGTAGAATTAATGTTACAAAATTTTTCATCTAACCTGGCACAACAGCAACAGTTTTCAAGGCTCGTAGTACTCTGAAGGTCCTGAGAACTGCCACCTTGCCCCCGAGGTCACCAAGGGCCATCGTCATGTACCTGGCCAGTTCGGTGTTCATTCGGTAATATATTAATCAAAAATGCTTATGGAGATCAAATAAGATCTAACGATTTTGTGCTGGCTACCGATTGAGTTAGTGTGTATGTGTGTTTGTGTGTGTGTCATGTTACAGTATGTAAAATATATGATGAACGAATGTACAATATGTAACATACGTATGTACGTGCAGACTACACATGTGCACCGTACACGCATATAGAAACTTCAATCGCAATAAACATTTGTTTAACCGGGCGGGCTCGTTGAGGGCAGATTTTATTTGTTAGGCGGGGAGGGAAGTATAAAAGTGCGATTCACAATTCTGACCCTACGCCATCCATAACTGATGTAATAAACATCGCCTGCTTTCCAAACTCTCACATCACATCCAAACATGTACCAACATTTCCATCATGTTTCAACTGGCGTTAACACTCAGTTTCAACTAACATTCATCACATTTTTTCCTTTAATTAAATTTTTTATATTGGTTCTAAAAAGTATTATTTATAAATTATCTAAAATTTTTTATCAACATTTTTGCAGTATTAGTTTTAACATAACGTGGATATTTTTACTTAAAAAACTTAAAATTAATTAGAAACATGTCATCACAGCTTCCGCTTTGATCTACTTGTTGGTCTAATTAGTCTAATGTCTAGTGTTTAGGCTGTCACGCCGTCATGTTTTTCAACGTAGTTTGTATGTATTTATAGTTTGGTATGTTTTTGTATGCGTTTATCAAACTTAGTATGTGATTATACTTTAGCATGTGATAGTATATATTTAGAGTTTCAACAGTATTTGTATATGTTGATAGTTTTGTATGAATATCGATTATCGCAAATAATATAAAAATATAATACTAATTTAAAATCAATCCTATTTGACATTGACATTTTAATCCGCATAATTTGTTTATTTAAATACATATTTAATTATTTTTTTTATTTCTACTGATTAAATTTAGTTAAACTTGAAAACTTAAAATATTTATTTAAATTTCTTTGCTTATCACAGAAAAATTATGCTAAAAAGATGATTGAAAACATTGTTCCTAACAAGAAAATGTTATGAAAAAAAGGTTTTTAAAATAGTTTAAAAAATAGCTGCTTAAAAATATCCGAAGTTGTTTATCATTCAGACCGACAGTAGCAAGTTGGTTTTTTGAGAAATGAGGAAAAAATGTTTTATTCATTATTGAGATTATTTAAACAACTTCTTTCAAAAAGTTGTGCAAATTTAAGAAGATATATGGAGTGTTTGTTAGCTTCAACTTTCTGCCAGTTAATAAGGTAGCCACTGAACAAAAAAATTTCCTAACAGATGTTGGAAAAAAGCTGCCGTTAATTTTATTTAATATATTTAACGTATTTTTGTTTGTATTAAATGTTTGAATCAAATTTGTAAAATTGGTAAAACTAATTGGTCAAATCATCTAAATGTTTCTCTTTAGGGTAGAATACAAATGAAAACATTTCCTGTTACATTAACATGCGATTAGATATACACTGTACTTTCGTACTGAAACATTTATAACCCAGCCTCAGTGAAATAAAGTTTCAACTATTCAGGATTGTTCATTGTATAAAGCCATACAATGTTTCACTGCGTATCATCATGTATCACATTGTATTTTTTCGTATCGTCGTGTATCATAATTTATCATCAGGTATCGTCATGTATCTTAATATATCTTAATGTTTCACATTTAATGTATTGGCGTTCCCATGTAGTATCGAGTATTGTGGAAACATGTATTTCGCTAATTAGGAATTCCAAAAAATTTTTGTCTAGTTGTAAATCTTTTTATGTATCTTTAAGTATTTCTGCGTAATTGAATATATATTTTCATATCTCTACTTTCATATTGTCTGCAAAAAGCACTTTTTCACCAATTTTTTTCAGAACGTTTCTAAAATTTTACGATCGCCGATCTAATTACCTCAAGAGCTCGCTTGAGAAAATTTTAAAATTGCGAAGCTTTTGCCAAAAATTGTCATGTAATTATTTTAAGAAAATATGGCAAAATGACAAAATGTGAAAAGTTAAAAAAAAACACAATAAAACGCGAACATATTTTAAAACATTATAGTGAAGAAATACACGAATGTAAAGACATTTTAGCGTAGTAATTATTTACGAAAATTATAAGGACATTGTTGAACGTACGCAAATGTGACGACGATGAAATCCAACCAGTTCCACATATCTCGCAGGTACGTGAAGTTAGCCAGTATGAAACCCCGAGCCAGCAATTTAATTAAGCCTTCGACTGTGTAGATGCCGGTGAATGTGGCCCTGAAATGATGGGTTGCTTCTATTTTATGTTAGCACTCGAAAGAAAAGCTTTGAAATGCAAATTGCCGAATAGGATGTTCATTAACTTTTGTTGCCTCATGTGAACAGAAAAAATAAACACTAATTACACATACTGTTTTAATTATGGTCGTTTCAAATTATTGATGAGATTTAAGTATAAAATTATTCTGTAATAAATTTCTAAATTTATTCAACGTTCACTAATCAAGAAGACAAATTTGTAACAAATTTCTAAGTTTAAAAAAAAACAAAATAGCCAAACCTATATTCTGGTTTTAAAATAAAATGATGCTAATCATATTTAAAATAACAAGTTGAAAATCTTAAAATAATATAAAATTAAAAAATTAGTGAAAACATGAAAACATTAAAGAAGCAAGGAGAGAAAGAAGGAGTGAAGAACAAACTCTGTATGCGGAATTTCTCTATTGATCGCCATGAATATACAATTGACCAGGATGACCAACATAACGCACAAGCTGAAGAACGTGATGGACCGACGAACGGTAAAGGAAAAACAAATTAAAAAAAAACAAGAAGAAGATAAAAATTATTTTTAAGATTTTCAATAACATTAATATTATTCTTATTATCACTGCTTAGAATAATGATGACGGTGATAATATTGCAGATTGCATTTCTGTAACATTGGTAAAACAATATTTCAGCTGAAAAATGATCTGAAGCCGTAAATTTTATTTGCGCAAAGTGTATTGCGTCATTCATAACGCAGAGATTTACACGCGCAAGGAGTTCCACGTTTGGAAACATTTTAATGAATAAACAAATTTTTATTAAATTTTCTGTATAACTTTTTAATTTTCAACACCAATAAGTTGGAAAAATAATTTAATAAAATATTAAAATTAATAATTGTGAAAAAGGATATGGATGTGTGAGGATGTAGATGGCGATCCTGCGGACAGGGTTGAATGGACTGAGGAAGAAGAAACCGTTGGATGAACTAAAACGAAATATCGTCTTGTCTTTGGCCACCACCACAAATGTCTGCAAGAAACAATTGTCATCATCATGATATTTAAAACAACATTTTCAAAGGTTAAATGCCGCCAATATTTAAACAGTTTTAATTGAAGAATTTTAGCCAATGATCTCTGCAATATACTTCAACGTGCACGCATCTACTAAATGTTTTTAAATACTACAGTATATTGAGCAGAATGATTAAAAATAAAAGTGTAAATATATGTTAAGGAAAAAAAAATGAAATAAATAAATAAATCAGCGTGCAGTATGTTCGTAACTATATATATGTATAAATAAAAAGCTCTAAAAATTTTTGCGACACTTTAAACATAAGACCTGCGGTCGTTTAAGGTGAAATGGAAGACTATTGAAAACAGAGAGGAGAGCTCTCTTGCTGAAGACAAAACCAGTCATTTGAACTTTTAACGGGTCTGTGTCATTTGAGCAAACACAAAATATGCTATATATACCGGACGTAAAGTTGAATCGAGATCAACATTTCGATATAACATTCTCAGTTTGGTTCTGTATCGACTAATACTTATTACCAGAATATCAAAAATACTTTGAAAGCGAGTGTTGCAGTGATAGACTTTTGAATGTATTGAACGAATAGACAAAAACTTGAAGTGTCTCTTGGCCAACATTAACAGCATAGTTGCTGCTGACTGTACTCGTCACGTTTGTATCGTGTAGACGTCTAACACGCACACACACGTACGCACACACGCACAAATTTATATACATTTATTTGTGTAGAATCTAAGTAGCACTAATTTATTTCTTAACTACTTCTACACATCAAATGAACCTATTGAAAGTGAATTCAAAGTAAGGTCAACATACGTTGAAAAAGTTTTCAATATTACAAATTTTCATCTTATTTTGTGGTAACAAAAAATGCTATAGAATCATAAGCCTTCATAAAAATCGGCTTAACATACAAACAATAAATATTCAATAAATATTTAGTAAAAATGAAACACCGAAAATAAATACCAACGTATTTATTGTGGTAGTACTCGTCGAAATCTTCAATAGGCATGCCACACATTTCGGGAGGGAATTCGCCCATCTTGCTAGGAAGCACCATGCCCTGCATGAGCAGCGGGTTGGGTCGGGGTTTGTCTTCGTCGAATAATAATTTGTTTTTGTCATCTTCTTTTCCTAGTTCCTCTTCCTGCTGCTTCAAAAGATCTTTCGCTTGTTTTTCTTCTTGGATTCTTTTTCTAATTTTTGTCATAGACTCTCTGGTGAAGAGTCGGAACATTGGTGGGTGAGTGATTGGTCGGCCGTCCAGACCTCTATACTCCATTAGACGTTACACCGCTTTTAAGGATTTTTTTTCTTAAAGTGTTTAATATCTAAAGTATATAGTGAAAATTTTCATTCTTGGAATTGAATTCAGTCGAGAAGACATTTGTTTCTTCATAATCTGCAAGACATCAAGCAAGGCTGCCTCTGCATTTAAAGATCTGCTTGTTGTTGTTGAGTCAAAAATTCAAAAAGATGATTGGAAAACACATTTTCAACGTTTTTTTTATTATATTTTCAGCTAGCCAATATCTGAAAAAACATTTGTAATTTTTGGAGTTTAAATTTTTTATATATTCTTATATCCTAGCAATATAAAACAAAAAATCCATTTTTGGTTTTGTTAAAATTAAAAAAATGTTAACATATCAACAAAAATAGTGAATTGTTGATGCAAAACTAAAAAAGAGCATAATAATTTTTTGTCTAACTTACCAAAATTCTGAATTTTTTTATTTCGCGATATTTTCTTTGAGGAAACTAAACGTTGAAGTGCATCGAGATGCAAGCTGTACGTTGCATGAATGAATTAATATCAAACAAGTTATGCGTGGTAGATTATCTATCAGATAAAATGTTCCATCTGAAGCAGTTCATGTCAAGATGAACGAAGATGATAAACAGTATCTCTCAGCCCCTTAAGACGAATGTGTCAGTTGAGGTCAACAACAATAGGCATAACGATGGCAACAGCTATAACAACCATTGCAACCAAAACAAAAACTATATCAGCAACAACAGACAAAAGCAATTATGATAAAAACAACCACATTAGCCACAACAACCACAACAGCCAAAACAACCACATCAGCCACAACAACCGCAACAATCACAACCACTACAACAACAACATCTATAACTACAACTAAATAATGTAGACAGCCACACACGTTTGACAAGAAATAGCAACAAAAACATCAGCAGAGATAGGAAAACCAAAATTTAACATAGATAAAAATGAAGGAATCACATTCAGGTATCCAATTTAACTTTTGTAATTAAAATTTACAACAGATTCAAACGACAATGTTGAACAAAAATAATTTTTGTTGAAACTGCATGTAAATGAAACGTTAAAAATTTTTATGGTAGCAAAATAAAAAAAACACAAAAGCATCTAATAAAATCTAGTTGGTCGAGATGGTCGAGAGTTAATGAATGCGACACAAAACAAATTACTTTTTATTATTGCAATTGTTCATTGCTCTCAGTTTCGCGTTATATCCTATTGATTTTCTGTACATGTACCTAATATTGAATGCTTGCATACACGAATGCCAATGACAATCCAGTCTGCTTGCACGTTTATATATATTTTATGTCCGTGCAAATTTCGAAGCGAATTGCCTGGTTTCGCGATGTGTGTGACGTTCTGGAGGTTGTTCTCATTTGTTACATTTGGCTGTTTTTTCAAATTTATTTGTTGGTAGTTTTGGTAAGTTACATCATTGTGTTTTCTGCGATTAGATATATTGATTGAATGGTTGATCTCGTTGATTGTATGTTGTTGCTTGTTTCATCGTATCACTCTATGTTGTGGTTGCTTGTTGTGGTTGCTTGTTGTGGTTGTGATTGTATGTTGTATGTTGTGGTTGTTGCATGTTGTGGTTTTTGCATGTTGCGGTTGCATGTTGTGGTTGCTTGCTGTGGTTATATGTTGTAACATCTAACATGTTATATCGTGTTGTTCAACCCCGCTTCAATGGACCAGCAAATACACATATAAATGTTTGAATGCCTGATCAGTTCATTTGAAACAAAGTAAGCAAATTAAAAAATTTAATAAAGACGAACAAATTATCAAAAATAACTTCAACAGCAACCGCACAATTAATTTCAATCATGGAAAATTGGAATAAACTGCATGCGGAGTGATTCAGTGATTATGAAGTGACCTCTGACCTCATACAGCACGTCCAACCTTTTGAATGATTGAAAATGTTGCCCTCAAATCTACTCGAAACTGCAGACGATTAAAATTATTTTCAGTAATTTAATTTGCAAAAGAAAAAACACTACAAAATTTTTTGATGAAAATATAAATAATTTAACGTTTCAAATGTTTTTATTTACATAAATTAAATATATTTTATTTGATAAACTTGAAGAAACATTTTTTCCAAAAATATGAAAGATTAATCAAGATCGTTCACAACAATTATGTAAAATTATGTAAATATTAACAATCTATAATGAATATTAAATTACGTTTTGATAAGCACGTATGAAATGTAAAAGAAGATGATAACAGCGAATATCAAAAATGAATTTTTTCAATTTTATTTTTCAGCGCTTTCAGTCAGAACGAATATTATTTAAGCAAAATTTAATTTTGAAATTGCATCGCTAATTTTAAATAAAATCCAAACTTAAACTGAATTAATTTTTGAAAAATGATTTCAAATTCAAGTTTGTCGTAAGAATATTAATTCAAAAATTGTGTTGTATTGTGTTGCAGCAGCATAATTCTTAATTCTTCATAATTGCTAATTCAGAAATGCATTCAAGTTCAGGTTTCGCGTTTGGCTAACATATTATACGCTATTAAAATAAATATATTCGTTGCTTAAAAATTAAAAAAACTACACGTGGGATATTTTCGCAAATAATTAAGAAACAATTAAATGAATTGGTGGATGAATGAATGAATGAATGAATGAATGAATGAATGAATGAACATATGAATAATAAACCAGTTTAATAGCTCTTCTACACACCACAGGCACGCAGTAATAAACATAAGTGAATTACGAGACGAAACAAAGGAGCACACGAGGTACAAGAGACCGTATGAACGATGTTCTGCCTGCTTATTTGTCTGCTGCCGGCCAATTGTACCTACTACGTTTCACAAACTGCTTATTTCTAATAAATTCTGTTATTGTTATCGTTCCCGACCAATTTCAGTTTTATACTATCTCTCTTTTTCTTTCGTCCATTTCTCCTCTTTCTCTATCTTTCTCTTTTCTCTCTCTCTTTCTATATATTCAGTCTTCCTCATAATTTTTCCTTTTTCTGGTCGAATCTCTTTTATGTAATCTAATTATTCGAGACTTAAAATCTTCAGCCACTATATTTCAATTTCATGTCTCCACAGTCTTGGGTTATTACTTAAGCAGACGGATCTTTTCAACCGGTCGTAACGTTAGAGTTAGCGCATAAAAATAAATCATTAATATTAACAGGAATTAAACGGAAATGGATATTAATTTGTTTAATTTATTTGGAAATGGATATAAATTTGTAAAAGAAAATATCTAATCTCCAGAATAAGTTCGCACTAATAAAATGAATTGAAAGGAAAATCAAGAAAAACATGAACGCAGCAAACGTGTGACTTTCAAGTATTCTCTGAGAGTTATTGCGCAAAAATTATTATTTAAAAGTTATTTTCATGGAATGGTTTATTATAAATTTGATTTAAAGAAGTGAGAGATGTGTAGGAAAGGAGAGGAAGGCAGTGACCATGAAACGATGGACAACAACAGACATCACGTGAACTCACGTGACCTCAGAGGAACCCACGTGACCTGCTTGTAAATAATGCATGCCATCGACATTTGTACGCAGAGAAATGTCATGCCTGCAAAGTTGCATGCACCAAATAAAAATCAATAAACAAGACCAAGTGGCGAAGAAGGGTCATGATGAAATTAAATGAAGCGTAAAAGTAAATAAATTTAAAAAAAAATAATTTTTGAAATAAGCTAAATGTTATGTTATTCAGATCTGATTGTTTAAATGTAATTACCAAATAACGTTTGAAATTTTCATGTTGGTTACATTATATAGGTAATCATACATATTGTCTTCTTTTAATAGTTCCCTTGTTTCTATATTTCTGCTTTTTCAAGTTTTACAACAACGACCTGTTTCGGATATAAATTTAGCCCGCTCAACCCGTTTAGACACATTAGGCCATCTATTCCATTCCAGTAAATTTTTAACATTTCATTCTCGATCTGCCAATCTTCCAAATCATTCTATCGAGGCAACTTCAGCTAACTCAATTTTTCAAGCATCGTCAGTTTGAAACTTTCGAGGTTTGTCGAACTGACGCTAATTTGCCTTGGTTCCGTTTTTATATATTTGCATATTATATACACATTTTTTTGTATGTGTATCATATTTTAATTATTTAATGGTCTTTTCTTAAATTATTTGATCTATTTGATAGAAACAGCTGAGTTGAATACTAAACGAAAACGAAAAATAGTTCAATTAATAATAAATTATATTTTAGGATAAGTTATATTATCGTATTTATTTCATTTTTTTGTTTTAATGAAGAACTGTTCAACAAAATTATGTTAACGTTGATTTGCTTCGCTAGATAGGTTCATTTTGAATTATGTTGTTAAATTAAAAATTGAACATTTATTCACTGTCACTTTTTGACAAAATTTTCAAACTTTTTTGTACCAAGAATGGACATTTGGCATTTATTTAGGTTGTCTCCTGGTTTATTGTATTTTTTTATGAAAAACACATGCGTGATCGGTCCAACTGAGTTCGGTTCTAACTAGCCAGGCACCTATAAATGTATCAACAACAAAAAAGAACAAACTCCAGTTCACAAGACCAACAATGTGTAAAAGAATGGACGTTCAAAATAAAGAAGCAAACAAACGCAGAAATGATTTTTGTTTCTCCATCTATTTAAAAAAATTTCATACTGAAAATAAACGAGAGGTCATTTATTTTTCTGACAGTATCATTAAGCAAACAACACGAAACCGACGAAACAACGGACGAGTGAGCAAACAATCAGACGAACAAACGAACAAGAAAAAGAAAAAGAACAAACAAACAAACATTTCATTCATACATATGTTTGTGCTCATCTTTTCATTCTATTTGCTCATTCTTGGCATGTCGTTATCGCAATCATTAGCATTTTGTAATGTATTTTTGTTGCATGCAGTATTCCGATGCCTTTCTGCAACGTTACTTGCGTCAACAGAAATTTTTCTATAACAATTTTATTTTCTCTGAACCTTG